CTCAACGACGCCCTTTCATCTCTGTTGACTTGATCCAAAGAAAACACCATTACGCTGCACATTATGATTAAAGACTGTGCTTTTTGGGTCCACCCATATAACTTCTGCTGCATGAAAGCACCTACTGTATTTCAGATCAATAATGATATTGGTCAGGTGTTGAATTTAGATTATCAGGGCTTATGAGCTGAATATATGCTTTTAGTTTGTTGCATTTTGCTGTAAGAATTCTGAATAGTAAATAAAGATTTTAAATAATAAAGCTGACTTTTTTATCACAGTCTCTGAGATAGGAAGTATGATAGGGTATAGTACAGGATGTGAGTGAAATATCCTCAGTTTATTCAAACCGTACTTCATCTGTCAGAAGAACCTCACGAGGGAGCGATAATCTTTGCACATGTCCAACAATATTAATAACTTCTATATATCATAATCTTTGCAGTTCACTTCTTTTTAGCAGGCCCTCACAATAAAACATCATTCATGTGTAGGCTGTGGAAAATGCCTAGAGAGGTCTAACTGCATGGCAATGACTGGCTTATAAACTTTTAAAGTTTAAGACCCAATTGTAGTCAAAGTCTGTGTCTAAAGCAATATTGAGTCATTCTTCACTGAGGCAAGAAGTGAATGTTTTTCTTCAGGGTTTAATTATCAGCTGGCTGACGGGCTCAGCATAAAAGTTTCAAAATTGCCATACCTCAGGAAAAGCACATCCCATTATTTTACCTACCTCCATACTATTGTGGAGAAAGAAAAGTGATCATTTTGGACTTGATGTGCAGCTGTTGGACCTAAACTTGCATTAAAAATATCTCTTGAGCAAAAAGATGGCTTCTGATTAATAGTTCACAGTTTTCTAGCCTGACACACAACTTGCAGTTCATCCAAGAATGGGCAGCAAAACACAGAACTTTGTCATAATGTCAGAAGTAGCAATAACATAAACTAGTGCAAATGAGATTCAGTGATAAAAGAAAGTTTGAAATGTGGCTCATAGGAAAGATGTGCCCTGAACACTTCAACACAGTGACAAACAGCTGCTGGTGCTTTTCTATGGCTATTTTTCTTATTTTCAAACAGTGTTAAAATAGTTTGGTAGGAGACCACTTTTCTGCATGTTTGCCTTTTATTTGACAGTTTGCCAGTGTTGAGGCACAGGAAAGAAAAAAGATCGATGCCATGCAATAAAGGTCCATGGCCAGATTCGAACCAGGGACATCACAATAATGCGGCACTAGTCTCAAGCTGGGGGGCCACAGAGATGTCCTGAGGGAACAAAATTTTTTATTTATTTAAAACATCTACAGGTCTTCAGATTCAGATTCATTCTTTATTGTCCTCAGTGGTGGAAATTTGTTTTCACAATCTGTACAAAGAGCACCTTCAACATTAATACTACACACAAACTCAAACAATGTACACATATCTACACATATAACACAGGAGTGACATCATTAACTTGTCTGTGAGTTTAACACTCTTATAGCACAGGGTACAAAACTTTTCCCAAAGCGTGCCTTTTTGTAGAGTAGCTGTCTGTTCCCACGGCCAGATGGGAGAAGGGTGAAGCATGAAGTGAGAGAGTGGTTGGGATTTTTGGTGCTACCACATCAGAAACGTGTTGCAGTCAGAATGGTGCAGTGGTATTAGCAGGTCCTGGGTTTAAATCCCAGTCAGGACAAACCTCCAGTAAGGGTCCCCAGACTTAAACCCCTAAATGCTATACAATCAAGCCTATATTGGAACAGGTTCCTTAAATGTAAGTTGTTTTGCATGAAAGCGCCAAACAAGTAAATGTAATGTTATACAGGGAGATATCTATTGTACATTTAAGGGGCACCAATTTCCTTGCTGCCAATAAGTCTGCAGACATCTTGACATGTCATAGCACGACAAACAAAGGTGTAATTACTAGCATGAATGATAGCAACATTCCATTTAGACTGGTGAACCAGTCTCAGAGTCCTCATATTATGTATGATGACTCACGGGAATAGCTACAGTTACATCTGTGTGTTTCCTACTGACAAGATAAAATATCTACTGTAAAAAAAGATGGTGTGTTTAAGTAAAGCTGCCATCTCAGTCACAACTATATTAGAAATGATTTGGTCCATTAGCAACTAACAACTGTGAAATGAAATTTGCACACAATTAAATCAGTGCAGCTTACTCTTAATTTCCCAAACCTGGCTAACATGTCAGTGTAGTATTATGGCTAAGTTAAATTATAATACCCTCAATTACTCTAATAAACAAGCTTCATGCTTCTAGAGAATCTCAGTAAGTGTACACTAGCTGACTTAACAATGATAAACTTTCTTTTACAAGGGATAACATTAAATGATTTACTTAATATTAAGGAAAATATACTCTCATCAAGTCAAACTTTAACAGAGCTGTAAGTAACGGAGTGTGTCTTTGGAGTGTGTCATTGATAGTCATTCCACTGTTCCAACAATCACCAACAAATTATGGAAAGTATCGCTACAGAGATAAAGTCCTTATTGTTTAACCAGAAAGAGCTTATATAGCACTTTTGATAGCTACCAGACTCCACAGAAAAAAAACAACAATAATTTTGCCTCGCAGACAGGGGTGTACTGGGACTAAAATTCAGCCCGGGACTTTGAGACAAAGAGGCAAATTTTTTTGAAAGCTTTTGTTAAAAATGTTCTGAAAAATAACTTGCACCAAGAAATGTAGCCAAACCAACAAATGAAAATGCTTTGAGAAAGATTTATTTGCACAATAAGAAAACATGCAATGCAATTTAAATAGGCAATAGAACAAACAAATGTGCATTGTCCAAAAAAAGTAACTTAATCCAAAAAACAAAACAAAAAACAAGCTGCTGATTACTGCATTTTATTATGTTATATTTTTATATTTATGAATTGTCACCTGCCAGCTGAATTTTTGGTTTCCCTTTCTATAAATTAAGACATTTCCACCGTAAATTGGAGGACAAAATTTCTCCAGAATTCACGAAATTAAGCGTTTAATACTCCAATTTTCTAGGAAGGATCCCCAGATCCCCTGCTGATGTATTTCAGCATTTCATATTTCTTCAAAATAGTGCTAAAAATCTTCTCGTGCATTGTCACGTCTGACACCCAAGTGTATCATCACGACCCTAATCTGAGCTCTTATGTCCCCACCACTTCTCAACACAAACTGACGCTCTGGCATTGTTGTTTATAATATATGTAATATAGCCTATACACCTATACATAAATGCATATATAAATCATTTAGGTATGTAATAAATTCATTTTGGCGCATTTAGCTACCTCTTGTGCCAACATTTTTTACTTAATTCTTAGTTTTTCGTACCACACATTTCTTTTCCCCCCGCGACCCTGCACGCAGAATAAGCGGTTGACGATGGATGGATGGACATTTCTTTTTCCTCTTTCTTTCTTTTTGATATAGGCCTACCATCTCTCTGTTGCGATCGAGATCAAAGACATCCATCTGTCACGTTCGCTGGGTGCGCAAAGCAGGAGAGACTGAGAGCAGAGGTCTAGTTCCAGGGTTTATTAATCCAAAATACACCAGGCATGAACAAAACTCTGGTAACTGGTAACATCAAACATGCAGCAACTCGTAGTACACACTTCATACGACAAAACAGAGTGTATACACACTACAATGACAGGACAGGGAATGAACAGAAACACCAAACATATATACTCAGGGACAAACGAGCAGGGTGGGAGGTGACCGGGATCAAGGCAGGGAAGCAGAGGGTATGGTGATCGCTCAGAGGAGAGGAAAGAGAGCAGGTGACCTATCAGATTCTGTGACTACACCAAAATGACGATGTTTTCCTAACCATAACCAAGTAGGCCTACTTTCGGTACCTAAACCCAACCAAACTGCAACCGCTTCACATGGTCAACAAAGCCTCTGGCGCTTAACTTGCCACTTGGGTCACATAATCTGATAGCTCATACATTTTGGAGCCCTGTTGGCCCAGCTTTGACGTAAAGGTCTGGTCTGTATAAAATGGGACTCATGTTGGCCATCGGAAATCAGAGACTGTTGTGGCCACATCTTCACAGAGACCTGCCCCATCAACATCCCGGATCAAGCACTATATAACTTTGTGCTATAATAATACAAATACAGTAGCCTATTATTTGACGATATAATGACAAATAAACAACCGTGCATCTTGTACATGTGATCACCACAAACACTGTATTCTTTCTGTATTCTTTCGCGTAGGCTATATTATATTAGGGAGGAGGCAGAAATGCCAGAAAGAGATATCTCAAAACCATGACGAGAGAAAAAGTATTTCCTTGTAATTTTTGTAATCTTTGACTGACCCTTTAGTGCCGCTTAGGATGTTAAAACCATGGGTTAAAACCATAGAAAAACTTAATTATTTGATCAACAATGTCTTAGGAAAGTGTTTTTATCATCTCCTTGTCAAACCAGCGGCCCCTAAATTTTGAGTGCACGTGTATTCTAACCGTTATGTTTATGCATTGACACGGCACAGACCCATAGCTGGCAGGCAGAGATATAGCCGAAGTCTGTATATGCTCGGTTGTTTTCCTTCTGGATAGGATGGCGAACAGAGTAGGCCTATGTCTACGTTTTTGCCCTTTAGGGGCTCTAGTTTTGGCGGCATAAACTTGACTTCGAGTTATGTAACCATGGCATCTGTGTATGTAGTTTTTACTTTGTATGTTAAATGTGAGAAATGGGTACTTTCGTAATTTTTTTTGGCAGCTACAATCAACCATACCATAATAGCAGGAATAGACGCGCAGCAAAATCCAAGCGGCGGCTGACTGCGCGGTTTTGCTGGAGCCTGGAGCCGCAGTCTGTTACGGATTCATGAAGTACACATGTCCACACCCAACATATTCGGGTTTTTGTCTATATATTTGGTGTATGGCATGACGTGACGTGACATGAGCAGGCCAACAGGAAAAAAATGAACAAACATTTGCAAATGCATTTTATTCTATTTTTTTCCTCCAGCAATAAGTTTTATTTTGTGCAGCTTCATCCTTTTTTTTCATCCACGTGTACCAATGTTTGCATCGAACGCACTTCCTTAGCAACGTGTATCTGAACCAGGAAGTACTTTTGTATGCTCTCGCTAACTAGCCGTGGTTAGCACAGTGAAGTGAAAGTGTGCGGCAGCAAAGTTTGTCTCAGTTGTATTTTTGAGTCCAGCTTCCGTCCGTATGTAATAAACACATGCCAGGTAACGTCGTGGTTAGCAGGCAGTCCTGTCGCTTGTAGGAGAGGAGTGAAAATTGTAAGTTGAGATGTTTTGTTGTGTGTTAGCTCGCTGTTAGCTAACAAGCTAACGAAAACTGCTAGCTTGACTTGAAATAACTTATTTGTATTGAATGTAATATCTCTCCTAATTCATTAAACAGACACGTAACATAAAGTAAATACCGCTTGTTTAATAACGCACACTTTAAACTGACATGCGTAACGAGCATTAACAACAGGAATTGTTTGGGAAGTTGATAACGTCAAGTTAGGTTAACGAGATGGGTGACATTATGTTATGTGCATGCTTCGATTTGTAGTCTTGTGGATCAGGATTGTGATTATCATATCATTACCGTTAGCTGCAACGTAGATGTTTGTATTCAAATTAGCAAAGCTGTACTGGTGATTCAAGTGAAAACCCATCTAGTGCCCACTTTGTGCTAGTACCTTTTTGGTCTAAGTGGTAAATGGCTTAGAACCACCACGTTGCTTTGCAAGAGACTCTGCATCTTTATGTCTTGTATATCAAAATAGTATTGTTTGTATTTCTTTCTCTGTCACAGGTGTGCCATGAAAATTATTTTCTTACCACTGTCTGATAGGCCACGATAGGCTTGATAGGCAAGGTATGCAGGGGTTATGGAAGGTCTAATGAATTCTGCCGAAGAGCAGCAACCCTCCTCTCCTCTGGCCAACGCATGGGCCAAAAAACAGGAATCAAGCAAGATTCAAAAGCCAAAACTTGTTGGTGGATTTGTTTTAGTGCATGCAGGTAAGTGCGCACGTCATTATTAACATGTAGAATTACATAGAAAGCAGCACCACATAATAAATAAACATAATTTAAAGTAATATGGTGGTATCACCATAGTAATTTAAATTATGTTTATTCCCTAATGAACTGAACATCATGTTTTCCTACATAGTTTTCTGCTTTGATATGATCAACTATCATCACTTTATAAACACTTGTCAGTAATGGAATTGCTATTTTTTTGTTATTAGTTTTACCAGGAAATCTGCCTTTTTCAACTGGCATTGGGCCAGAAGTGAATTTTTGACACTAGTTTGAAATCTGACTTTACATACATGGACAGCTGTTATTGCAAATCTAGTGGTTGCTTAAATTCTAGTGTGAAGCCACCTCTGATTTTCTTAATCCCCAGCTAACTCAACATGATCACAACATGCCACTGGTGGCAAAGGTTTTGAGTTCAAGACCCAAGTGATGCAGAATGTGATGCAGGCATTGTGTAGTGTGAATAAGAGGCATGCTACTTTACTAGGTTTAATGATGCATTTGGTTCCTCCTCTTCTTCCTCTTCCACATCATCCTTCTTTCTCCTCAAAATGCCTGGCTAATTTCCCTTCAGGAGCAGGATACCATTCTGAATCTAAGGCCAAGGAGTACAAGCATGTGTGCAAAAGAGCCTGCCAGCGAGTAAGTTTACTTTATGGGCATTATCATACTGTTTGTGCACAAAATCAGTCTTATTCTCATTGCAATGTTAGTAAATGCATTATCTAGATAATTTGGCACTTCATATTATTTAATCTGTTTAATACTTTCTGAATAAAGACCAACAAAACAGACTGACATTGATCATTAATTAAAGTAGCCTTTCAAGGCTTTCCTTAAGCAATTGAAAAATTGTGCTGTACCATTATATTCAAATGTAATTAGTGGAAAATATGCATAAATGTTTTTATTATTTGGTATTGCTAAAATATTAGTACTAAAGACCCCTGTATCTACTAGAAATAAATGTGTTTATGTGATAAATAATGAATAAGTATGCTTTCATCCATACACTGAAGTCAACTTATTTAGTCAGTTTAATAGTTTACAGTTTACTTGCTCTTTAACCTCAGTTGGCTGTGACAACAAATCAGTTATCTAAAAGTTGCTTAATACTGTGGAGTGTGTAAACCTCCTCCTACTACATTTGCACACAAATATGTCCTGTTCTTGTTCTATCTAATGGATATAATGTCTTTAGAAAGTACCTTTTTTTTTTTTTTTTTTTTTTTTTTTTATAAACAACTTGACCTATTACATAATGTTTTTTTGCAATCTGTATTGGCTTTATCAGGACGATATTGGGATTTTCTTCCACACTTTCTCAGTGGTTTGCTCAGGTTGGATGGAGAACATCTGTGAACAGCTGTCATTACATATATTTTCAGTGGGATTCTAATCTGTGTTTTGGCAGTACTACGCAAGCACTTTAATGTTCTTGTTTTGAAGTCATTCCAGTTTTCATTTGGCTGTATTAAGATCATATTGCTGTTGGAAGGAAAGTATTTGTTCTTTGGCACTCCAAATCATGTTCCTCTCAGTAATATCATTGTATTTAGTTTCATTCATTGTTCATTCCATCCTTACAAGTTGCTTAATCCCTATGACTGAAAAACAACATCATGCTGCAGCCATCACCCTTGCTTTACTATGGGAATGGTGTTGGATGGGTAAGGAGCTGTGCCCATTTTCCATTGGATGTTGCACTTTGCATTAAGGCCCAAAAGTTAAATTTTAAAAAGGGGCCTTGCTTTCATTGCTATTCATACCTTGTTACAACGTCTTATATGTTACCTGTTGTGATAATGTTACATAACTGACTTTGAGAAATGTAGGTAGTGAAAGTATTGGCTTAAATGACAAGGTGTCTCTGTCTGTCTTTTCCAGGCTGTGGACCGGCTGAAAGCTGGTGCACTTGCAGTGGAAGCAGTGGCTGCAGCACTGGTTGAACTTGAGGTTGGTTGACTGTGCATGTAACCTTTATTACCTCTGTAATCTGTAACACCACACATACATAATTAACATCCAAAAAACTTTCAGTGAGGATAAGAAACTTAATTTGACATGTGTATGTGTTCATCCAGCACAGCTTTATTCTGCTGCATGTACGCACATCCTGTTGGATGATGTTAGGCATGATTTTCCTCAGAGCAGGGTTGGAATAAAGGATAATGAACTGCTGTAAGAATTTACAAAGAACTGTGGTAGAGCAAGCACTTGTGTTTTTTTAAAGCTAAATTAGAATAGCCATATGGTGCAAAAAATACCTGCTCAAGCATTAGGCATAGCACAAAATGATGGGCAAAACTAAGAAACACACTTGAAAAACAACAGTCTCAAAACCAGCAACAAGTAATTATGAAGTAATATTCTTACTAGAATATTTCTGACTTGTTACTTACTTGACTCATTTTTAAGAAGTACTTCAGAGTGGCATGCGACATGTATTTGCAAATGAAAATGGGACAAAAGCAAAGCTATTTATAACTATCTACAAAATTCAAATGAACTCATGATAACAGTGGTTCTGACCCTTTGATAAAGCTGTAGTGTAGGTACTTAAGAAAATGCATCAAGTGCTTTCATCAAATGCTTTTTGTCTTTCTTTAAATTAAGAAGAAAAGAATGACTTTCCTTCAGTATATTAGCATTGACAGTATGCTTCATTGCAATTATAGTTTTATTCTAGGCCGCATGTTTTTAATTGTTCTCAGGACTCTCCTTTTACAAACGCTGGCATGGGCTCCAACCTTAATTTGTCGGGGGAAATTGAATGTGATGCGAGTATCATGGATGGGAAGTCGCTCCATTATGGCGCCGTAGGGGCTATTGGTGGTGAGTTACTACACACTTGTTGATATATTATGATATATAATACTGCTATGTTGTCGTGGCACTGAAGTTCAGTCACCTGCAAGTAATAGCAATGACTCAAGCCTCTGTCTGTCATATGTTTTACTTAGATACTTTCTACCATCTCAGAGTGTTTTTAGGGATTTTTAGAGTAATTTGGCATCATAAATCCTTACAATGGGGGACCAACCACTTTTTACAGGGAGAAAATTCAGGAAATGCTGCTAAAATGTACACATCAGTATACTTACATAGAGCTTTCCTTGAAGGCTTTCAACAAAAGCAATTCTTTTGCAAGAACTGAAGATTCACAGCCTAGAAGTGAAAGAATGATGAATGAAACTTTGTCGGCTTGGATATAAAATGCATACCTGTCAACTTGTGTTTTATAAGGTCTCTTAAGGCACTGAAATGTGTTTAAATAGGCTAAAAGAAACCCACTATTCATAGGTGTGCTCGTGTAACAATGTGCAATACTACACAGTAAACTCAATGTCTACATTGCCTGTGAAAATGAACAAAATATACAGAAAGTCAACACAGATATTGCAAAAATCAAACCGTATGTAGTTCACCTGTATTGTGCAGAGAAAGACTCATTATTTGGTCTTTTGATGACTCTTCTGTTTCTCTTATTTAAAAATCATCATTTTGCCCGTAATAATGTGAAGAATTACCGTGTGTGTTTGAAAAATCTAGTCATGAATTGAGGACCTTGATTTGTTTACACTGTAATAAAAGCACATGGAATGAACTGCTAGCCCTGTGATAATTCTGACTTTTCCTTCAGGTATTAAGAACCCAGTCTTAGTTGCAAACCGTCTACTGAGTGAAGCACAGAAAGGGAAACTATCAGCTGGCAGAATACCTCCCTGGTGATTATCATTATGAATTTATGTTGTATTAATGTGACTATATCCGCTTGTTAATGTTTTTTCTTTTGTCAGCTTTTTAGTAGGGCGAGGAGCACATGATTGGGCAGTCAGCCATGGAATACCGCCATGCCCTTCAGAGAAAATGGCCACCAGTGAGTTTCGTTATACTGATTCAGAAATATGCTTCATTCAAGAAATGTATTTTCTGTTGCGGAACTACTGAACCAAAACACTGCTCAGAACAAGAGCATGGACGAGGTGCATCAACTACTTACGTGGATGAGTTAGATTGAGATTGTTTTGTTTTTTTCACACACAGAGTTCAGTTTATCTGCGTACAAGAGGAACAAGCGAAAGATGGAGATGGCAGAAAAGATGGACACAGGACATAATCAGACAAAGAAAAGACGACAATCAAGTGAAAATGTGAGTACAGAAAACAGTTATTTTATTAGCATCATGTGTATTCTTGCTGAATCGGTTGAGTCAGAATGGACCCGCCCCTTTCTGCTGTTTTTGTAGTAGTGTCCCTCACAGCGAACGGCATGTTTTTTATTTGCCCCACAGGTACTGTAAGGGGTTGATCTGTCCAGGGTTACCATTTGTACTAAAGAAAATGCTCTGTGGTAGTGGTCAACTAATTGCATCTAATAATCAATACCCCCATGTGGAGAGAAATTATACTTGCCTGGAAGTGGTACTGAAATGTGGTCCAATAAACTAAAAAAGGTATATCTACTTCACTGCACAGGTGCTAATAAAGGCAAGATCCACAGAAAAAACTTGCCACTGTGTGTAGAATGGAACAGAACAAACAGAATGCAAAAAGATAATGAAACAAATACCAAAAGGGATATTATGGGAAGAAACCAAAGGTGGGAAAACCTATGTCCTATAAATTCAGACAGAAGACCTACAAAGGTAAGAGGGGTCAGTAACGATAAGAGCACGGGGTTTACCCCAGTAGAAGATGTTAATGTCAGCATGACCTTGTCCATCGAGGCTACTATTAGTAATGAAGTCAGTTTTATCATGCAGCCCACAGATTCTAAATCAGCAGTTATGCATGGGGATATGTGGCATCAAACTGAATATAAAATTATCAAGTAGAATATGATATTTTATGCAAGAAAGGAATTAAACTACTCTTCACAACTAAGACGTAAAGATAAGTTCTGCCAGTTATGATCTCAAATTCTCACAGGGTCATCGAAGGAAATGGCATTACCAGCTTGCACAGAGGTTTCCAACAAACAATTAAAGTGTTGACAAGAGTTGGTGCAAAGTTTCAGTGCCCTGAGCAGCACAGCTGGAGAGTTGCCTGATGATGAGCTGAGTGGAAAGCAGTTGAGAGCAGCAGACTCATTCTGCTCTAAAGTCACTAGCAGTGGCAGCAGCAGCAGCAGAAAAGGGTGGGAGAGTTTAGGTTGGTTAGGATGTGAATTGTGTTAAATGGAGTAAAACATGTAAATGCAACCTTATATGCGTCTTTGGACCTGCTTTTGAACACTATAACTGTTTATTTAGTTCAGTTACATAAATCCTCAATATTAATGAGATATCCATAAAAAGCAAGACTAACAACTAAGATAGACTGTTTGTTGACTCAGGCAAGTTCAAGTGATATATGATTAAATGACTGGTAATGATGCCAAGTGGCTAGTTAGCCTAATGAGAGTTTAAGGTTTGACTTGCCCTCTGTTCTCATCCATCTCTTACATGTTTACACAGAACTGATTGACCTATTAAAGATTAATATGCGACTATTTGGTGCAGTTAAGCTACCACTGATTTGGACATAACTGATAGTCAGACTGTGACTGTTCAAATGCATGCCTTGTTCAGAGTTTTTTTTTTTACAGTGATTTGGCATCAACCATGTCATTAATTCTTACTCTGTCATTGACATATAAAGTGAATTAACAGGAAATAACCCTATCTTTTATCAAGAATGGAGACTTGTGGGTTCAAGAAAAGGCGGTATTGCAGCAACTCTGGTTTTAATTTTCATACACAATTTTCTTTTTTCTGCCTCTGAGTTTTTGCCAAGCAATAAAATCTTTCCATTCTTTTTTTCAGTCCAATATAGGCACCTGTCTCATTATGGTCTATGGTTGCAGTGTTTTTCTTTTAGGAATATCTAAAGCATATCAATATAATTCCTACGATGCCCTTAAGTTTTACATTATTCATTATTTATGTCATTATTTACTGTGGATTTGTTTTATTTAAGGACACCGATAAGAAATGATAGGATTGTCTTTGTAGCATTTTGAAATAGCTGGCTCTGGTTCGTTTTTGGCCTCAAGGGCTCGGAGACAGGACTGATTTAGGAGAGCATAAGACAGATGAGATGTGCTGTTGCCTTTTTTTTTACTCTCCCCTTTTAGTCCAGGATTCAATGTAGTTCTTCAGTTTCTGGAAGGAGTTGAGCTCTGATCATGTATCATAATGCCATTTTACACATTTACCCTGTAGAACTTAATTCATCATGCAGCCTGAGTCATGATGGTTCTCAAACAAGTCACTTCCAAAGTAAACTGCAATCAGGAAAGGAATACAGCTGATGGAAATCACAACATCACATATTTTTAATGAATGTGAAGGGCAAGGAAGAGTGATTATAAATTTCATGCTGTACATTCTTAACTTTGGAAATGTACTTAGTCAAAGATGATGTCTCTGCTGCAAAATGTGAATTTTTGGACTTATCTGAAATTTTCACTCCTCATTTATCCATTTGTATTTATTTGTGTTCTGTTCATGTCACTCTTCTCCTTACTGTCATGTAGGAAAATGGTTCAGGGTGCCTCGATACAGTGGGAGCCATTGTGGTAGACCTGGAAGGGAACGTAGCTGCAGCAGTGTCCAGTGGAGGCCTGGCCATGAAACATCCCGGCAGGGTTGGCCAGGTAGTCAGTAGAAGAATAGAAGAGTTTGCCCTGATCATCCTTACTTCCTGTGTCCCATTGTTTTTTTTGAATGTTAAAGCCCAGTAAACATTTCTGTGCGGGAAGTCATTTACTTTGAGGCAGCTACAGGAAGTTATGAGTTTGCATTAACAGCAGCTTAACAATGGGGGCTGAACAGAATGAATGAATCTGTAGAATTTACTGCCCTTACCTCATTAACACTGTTAAAGCTTGGAGCAATAGAGTAGTGAGTATATGGCATGCTATTCTAGTTAATGAGGGGAAATGTAAATTAGGCTGAAATGACCAACCCAGCCTTAAGTGTAAGTTTTAAATAATTTCATTGGGCTATAGTTATCACAGTATGTGATTTCCTAAACAAAAACATTATAACTAAAACAACAACAAAATGTCTTTGCATCTAAAATGTCCTCTCTTCCTCTCTCTTCCCAGGCTGCTCATTATGGATGTGGCTGCTGGGCTGAAAATGCCTGTAATATGAACCCTTACTCTACAGCAGTGAGTACCTCAGGTATACCACAGCACACTCTCTACAATATGTCACAGTTGTGTGTCTGTGTGTGTTGTGCGTGCATGTTTAACTCTCATTGTTAATGTTTACCGCTAGTCCACCTTTTGTTTTGGAGAAGATATGAATCAGAAACAGATATTCGATGTGAGGCCTCTTATTTAGCCTCAGTGAGTCAAGCTTAAAAAAGCCTGATAATACTTTCCGATGACCTCCAACCATTCCAGCTGAGGGATTCTCATCAGTCACTTCCTCAGCTGATTGAGTCATCATTCTCCACTCTTTGTTAGTCAGCTGCGTGCCAGGTGCATTGCAGAGCTCTTTGGATTTACTATGACATTTGACATGGGACACCTGCTGTAGATATGATAGAGGGAGGACTGCCAGGAGTGCAGCAGAAAGATTGTAAATTTGTGCAGTTATCTAGATTCAGATCATAACTTAGTTTTTCTTAAAATTATTTACAGTTTATAATATGCTTCTGTTAATACAAGATGAAAACGCAATGAGGAAAAAAACTTTTGTTGAACTCTCTAAATGTACAGATTCTTTATTCTTCAATTTAGATCTGTACTCAATGTACTTTGACTAACAATTGAAGCATGTTTAATATGTATGGTAAGTACAATAAATGTATAGTAAAAACAATCACAGGAAAAAGTATGTGAACCCTTAAGAATTATCTGGATTTCTGTATAAATTGGTAAAATTAGATCTGATCTTCATTGAAGTCACAAAAATAGAAAAACACAGTCTGCTTCAGCTAATACCATCCAACAACCAACCAACAATTATATGTTTTCATATTATTATTGAACACACCGTGTAAACATATGGAAGCGTATTGCATTAAAAAAAAAAAAAAAAAAAAATCTAAATGATAATAATGCATCCAATAAATTCATACCAGAAATGTCTTTTACAATAAAGCAGGTCAATGGCTGATTTTGTAATAAATGGAGAAAAAAAAGAAATTTAGTGGCACTTAAAGATTGTGACATATAGACTTGACACAGCATTAGGTTGGATGATTTCAACTGGCTTTAAAGAGGTACAAGTGAAATGTTGCTTTTATATTTTTAGCATCGCTGTAACAGACGAGATTTAAATCTTAATGCTATAAGACCAATCTCCGAACAGTAACGTGTCCTGTATTTGTAATGAATGTCAACAATTATTGCGCAGAACAATTTGAACATTAACATGATGCAGAGTAATGACATGATGGTTTCAGATGATTGGATTGAAATCTTCTGACACCACTGGGAAGTGTTTGGTCTGTGCTAATGCAATTTCATTTACGTAAAATTCCATTCAGCTTCATTATATCAGGATGTCAGAAGAAGACTCATCAGAAGATATCTCAAAACCTCTGTAAAAAGATGTACATGAAAGACTGATCTTTAAAAGGTAAAAAAAAATTAAGGTTAAAATGTAAAAATGTGTGACAGTAAGTCTGGGAAAAAAACACTCTGCATTCCCCACCTACTTTTATTGCAATCAATTTTAACACACCTCGACAAGTGTAAGGATGATGCAGGGGAGGATAGAGAGGGTACACACACTTGAGGCAAAGACACTGTTTTTGTATAGATTAAATCCTAGCCTTCATTTCACCAGCCTGTGGTGAAAGTGAACCTTTCTGACCATTACTGACAACAAGAGCCTTGTGAATTTTGTGATTTTAAAAATGCTTTACATTTACTGTACAAGTCTGCATGCAGAGAAACGATAGCAGCCAGAGCAAACAGGAGCAGAGGATGGTATCAAAACTTGAAGAGAGTCAATTTGACAGACACTCTTCCCTTTCAGGACCATTCAGCCATTTCAAAAACAAGTTACATTCTTCTTGAACATTTTTCTACAATGTATACAGCCATGCTTTGGTGATTTTAGCTGAAAGCAACATTGCTGGTTGTGAGCCATATGGATTTGAATGTGAGGTAGAGGCTACATTAGCCCACTTCTTTAAGATGTGCAGACCTCTGCGACATAGCTTCTGGGGATCATTAAAACCTTTTGATGTGGATCTGTAGCCTAATGCATCACAGCACAGACGAGCTGATTTGATCTGACAGGCTGAAGCTTAAGTCATATGTACTGAGATAGCCAGCGTTTTGCACTGCTAAAGCTTGTCTGAATATATGATCACCAGCAATCAGTGAGAAATTTAGGCTAATGAAACAATTATTTTAAATAAACAGCCTCAGAAGTCCATAGTGTTGTAAATAGTGATTTTAACTGTATTATGTGCATTTGTATGTATTAAAGGGCTGTCACTTACTTGAAGTCTGCAGCTTAAAGGTCATTTGATCCATTCTGTATTTGTTCCATTAAGCACGCAGTGTAAGACTACTATCTTGGTAAAAGTCTATCAATTATCCCAGTAGATGAAGTGTACATGTTTGCTCTGTATGTATTTTGACCTCATCCTGTTTTCTTATATTGTGGCTTTGCCTTTGATGTTACTAAAAAAGCTTTCCTTATGGGTATGGAGAGCATAATGTGTGTTCCAGTACAACACCTGTTTTTAATTTCACAACATGAAAGGCATTCCCATCAAAAGAAACTGTAATTTCCATGCTGACATGAGGAGTATGATCCTCACCCTATAGCATATATGTCACTCTTCCCTTCACCTCACCACCACTTTGTCCATTGCCCACACACACACACACACACACACACACACACACATTCTAGTCTGTATCGTAATATTTGGCTCATGTGGGTCTTTGTTTTATATGCGGTGCCTGCTTTGCCTGGCCTTTGCTTTGCTGTGCCAAGTGAGGGAGCAGCTCATGAACTTCACTGTTTATTCCTACTTTTGTTGGCTGTCAAAATACTGTTTGTTTGGCCTCTTTCTTTTTGCATTTCTCTTGTGTTGAGCTGCTATTGTAGTCTGAGCTTCTTGCTGCAGTCCCAGTTCAACAGTGTCTGTGCTGCCATATTATCCATTTCCCCTGGGACAGAGCGCTTTATGGTAAACACATTACAAAAGGCACAGTACCTGGCCAATCTGACGCTCTGCTCTTGTTAAAACAGAACTTCAAATTGCTCCAGGCATCTGGTCTCCGCAGTTACCGACCTGCATTCAGTTTTGTTGTAGTTACCTGAAATTTTATGGGGCCTTCATTTGTGTTTACAGAAACAACAAGGCTATATTCTTAAGTCTTTATGGGTTTTCACAGGAGCTTTTGCCAGATGCGTTTTGTTTTCACTTTCTTTTTTCCTGAGTACGAGCAGACATTTGAGAAATATCATATTGTAATCATGCAGCATGCATTTAATATCCTCTTTCCTTAGCAGCAACAAGGTATTGATTTTAATGTTGGTCCTTTTAAGCAGCAAGTAGCATATTATCTAAGATATAAAAAAAGCACACCTGCTAGGTTCTGACTTGGAAGTGGCAGAGGGTAAGGTGAGACATTTGTACAGGCTGCCCATGCTTTTTATGGTTCTTGGTTTGCTTAAATTCTTAACAAAATGCTTAGTTTCTCTCCTTGGACCTTTTGTTATACCACATCGTTATAACACATTAGCATAGCTAAAGAGCATCTGACAGATTCAGGTGCTAATTGAAGCCAACTGAAGCGCACCCTGCTGGCACTTTGAATTAATTCAAAGGATTAAGTTTTAGCATGAATAAAATGTTCACACGCAGAACCTTTATACTGCATTGCTGTTTCTGTGGACGGTAACAAAAGGGTGTCACAGTCTTCACAGATAAAATTGCATTTGGCATGCTGTCACTTATGTCATAACTCCACACTGTTAGTCAGTGGTCTAATAAATAATAGTATAATAATAATATCAAATTATTTGTTGTAGTTTACCTTCCACATTTAAATAAATAATATTTTTGGTGTTTGGTCAGTTAAGCCTTAATGGGAAAGTCATGTTTCTAAAAATATATATTAGCGTAACATATACATAGAAAACCTGTTGAGGCATAAATGTGTAATTTTGAAACATGTTGCATGTTAATATTGCAGTTACGCAGTAAGCCAGAGCACAGAATTTTACAAAAGTGGAATTAATAATGGGTGGCTGCTGTTTCAAATTCCCAGACCAGCTGGGAATCTGGGCAGGGAAAGCTGAATGAGAAACACAAATTTCTCTCCGGCAATTACTGTCAGTGTGTCCTTGAGCAAGGCAGCTTTGCTTGGCAGCCCCTAGGTGCTGTCATCTTTACCTTAAATAAAAAGGCTGAGAACATGCTAAAAAGACTGCAATAGCTCTGTATTTTTTCTAATAGCTGAAAAGGCCAGTCCTTTCATTTTGCAATATTTTACATTACATAACTTAATAACCAGATAAATTGGGAAAAGGTGTTTTTTTTAACATGGTATGAATATCAAATGGTAATCAAGAAATACTCACACATACTAAATTCTTCAAAGTTCACTTAAACATCAAGATGTGAAATATCAAGATGTGATTAAAACCATATACAGCTAATGTTTTGTTTAAACAGACATTTGTTTAAATGGGCCTTGGATTCTTGGGTGCCAGTGGGTTGCACTACATGTGCTACAACTCTGAACTCACTGGAGACCTTGTGCAATTCTGATCGAATGCATGCATTATTGCAACAAAGAAATGAGTGGATAAAAGTTAATGATAAAGGTTCAGCTGTGTCTGTGTGTCTTGTTCCAGGCTGTGGAGAGCATCTGATTCGCACCATGCTGGCACGAGAATGCTCTGCTGCCATGCAGTCTGAAGATGCCCACCAAGCGCTGCTGGAGGCTATGCAAAACAAGTTCATCAGTGAGTCACCCACAACCACTCCTTTCCACACACGCATACTAGTCGGCCATGAACTCGTTTGCCAGAAACACAATGATGCACTAAAAGAACTGAACTAACAAACAGATGTTGCGTAACATAAGGAATGAGCTAACAACTGGAAACATCGGAAATAATAGAATCAGAAGAGAGACGGCTTTTGATTTATGGACCGTTTTCACTGTTTAAACAGGGCCTTCAAATGTTCCACACATCATAGCTGACAGCCACAGATTATTTTAGAAGACATACTTGCTTTGTTGAAAGTTCATGTGAAGATGTAATTTTTTTTTCTGCCATATTCTCAGAAGTGGTCAGTTTTTTAGCATGTCTTGTTAACTGTGTTTGCTGCGCCTGTGAATGACCACTGGGATAGAGCAGGGAAAGAAAGGACATGTGGAAACGTGGTGGTTTCTGCCTTGTTTTGGCCTCCTTTAGAAGTCCATCCCAGTTTGGCATTGTCATGGACATCTGTAACACTGAGACATTTGGACAGACGGGATGAAGTCAATTTGAAGTTAATTCTTTTGTTGTTTCCTTTTAAGATTCACATTAAGTTAAACGGAGCCCCATAAATCCTGCCTTAGCAAGAGCAATGATGACAGTGTGTGTGATGTGGCGGCCTCTCACTGAACTTTCATGATACAGCTGTCAGGTTCCATATCTTTAATGACAACACCATCCAAATATTTAGATCTTTTTGTGTAATACAGCAACTCTTATTGTATAGATACACCTGCCAAACATAAACACACACACAAATACTCAAATAGTTTAATCCCATTTATTTTTCCTTCTTTTGTTGTGATGGGTAAAAAAAACTGTGAACCCTGAGGCAATAATAGAGATATTATGAAATGTTTAATAAACCTATACCCTTTTCAAAATGGAGAACAAATCCCAAAACTTTATGTAAATGTTGTCCAAGCTATTTTCAAAAAAATAGTTTTTTTTATAGAGTGAAGGGAACATTACAACATGGGACCAAAATTAGTGTGAAATGTGACAAAGAAACAATGGGATGCAGACACAATAATATTTTCATCATGCGCCAATTGGTCCTGTTTTTCTTGTACTTGTTGCTGTGTTAAGACATTTCACGACACCAAAAGCTCTTTTTATTTAGCTCTTTTTCAAACAAAGCCTTTTTTTCTTTTATTGCCCCACACTAATCAGTCAATTCAATGTTTTTTTTTGTATACACAACATCACTTCTGAAATTTGGTCAGGGAGCAAGAAAGGTTCTCATTGATTCCACAAAGCCAATTGATATTTCTGTTTGTTTTTTGAAAGAAAGCTCGAAGGTCTTTGAGAGTCAGCTGGATATTTTTCTTGAAATGAAATATCATGTAACAGGAGTGTATACTGTGTGTGGGGAGTTACAAATTACACTACCTGTCATTAACCTATTATGTGCTCAAACCTGCCCATACGAATGGAGTGAAATGCTTTTTTATTGAACTAAATAAAATAAATACATCAGGACAGAATAATTGCTTGCAGTTGTTTAACTTGGCCAGACAGGCAAGCAACTTGAATAGAAGGATTTCTTTTTCTCATAGATCACAGTAATTTGATTAAAAGGGCTGTGTTTCGTCCAGTCTTTTCATGTGTTATCCTTGGTTCGATGTGTTGGGGTGGGGAACTAAAAGTATACAAGAGAGTTTTTGACTGAGGAGAAACCTGTCATTCATACCATGCTTATGCCTCATTTAGCCATCTCTTTTGGTGCTTTCTTTGTGTGTCCAGGCTCACCCTTTCTGGCCAGCGAAGATCGTGTTTTGGGTGGAGTAATTGTCTTGCGCTGCTGCAGATGTGTGGAAGCTCCGCCATCTCAAAATATTCAGGGTATACTGGGTAAGTCATGAATCATTTCAAGTCAGGTCACATTCAAACCTCCACGCCACAGCTAACAGTAAGCAAGTATTTGGCTGTTAATATTTTAAAAATCCTTCATCAGATATGGGGAGGAGGCACTGTAGCTTTCCTGGCGGGTGGTCTGTGTTTTAACTTACACAATCGGGCTCTGGTTTCACACCCTTCATCTCAGATTCAAACAGAGACCTCCCACTATGGAATCAACTGCTAATCTTCAGACAAGTGGAGGCCCTCTGAATTCTGCCCCCATTTTGACTGATTGGTATTGGCGGATCTGATTTATATATATATTTTTTTACCTTCAGCAGAATGATCCTTACTTTCTCAAAGCTACCATTATGGAATTGGACATAATCTGAGTTCTGTCCACATTTTGGCCATATGATTTACTACTAAGCTTTAATGTTGCCCTTTTAACCTTTGTGTTGATAACAAAACAATGGATGAGTTCAAGTTCACTGATGAAGTAGAGCAGATGTTCTTCCAATGTAGATTTCAAATTAAACATGATGGCAAATAACTAGGGAAGTGCCATTTATATGATGCATTATGTCCGCCTGAATAATAACATGTTCCAAAGTATCACTTACTCAGTGATGTGCAGGCCCTGTTTGATGCTGTTTATGGACCGTAGCCCTTGTACAGAGCGTGGACTACTTCCAATTACTGTGGACTGCAAAGGGCTCTGTGTTGATTTACAAGAATAAACAGTATGTCGACCGCATCCTTTGAATGCTGTAGTTTCTACTCTAATTCACAAGTTCTACCTTCCTCTGCAGTTATGTCACAACTTTGAGTCATATATTTTCATGGTAATGGGCACGCTCAGAGTTTACGGTGGTTTGGCACACTGAGTCACCTGCCAAATGTTTTTCCTTGGCTGATGGAAAGACTGTTGATTTCTGTTCATTTTGAAAAATCAAACTTTTAGCTCAGTTACAGTTCTTTCCCCACACTCTTTTTATTTATATTTTTACATTTATATTAATTAATATTTTGTTAATGGATTTTCTCCTGTCCGCTCTATGATTAACCTTTTTATCTGTGCATTTTCACAGTGGAGTTCCTATGGAGTCACACCACAGAGAGCATGTGTGTTGGCTACATGTCTGCCCAAGATAGCAAAGCAAAGGTGAGCTTCCCAATTAGCTTGACAAGCAAAATGTCTTTGTGAGTGAGTTTTAAAAACACTTAGGTTATAGCGGAGTGTAAACATCTCTAGCTCATTAACAACACTCATTAACACACACAAGAAAGTTCAGGAATAGGTGTAGGCTCATATTATAGAGCTCATGAAATATACTGTATAATACTGCTAAGACCATTTCACTGAGCAGTGGCTTGAAATTTATGGACCCTGTTTGACTTGCAGTTAGAGCCATAGTTTTGACTTTTATGAATGTTTTTTTACATCATATTTTCCAGGATGGATAATGTTTATTAGAAAAACATCAAGCTCTGGTATAAGTAATGTCGCAGATTTTTAAACTTTACCAGAATGCTGAAATATAATTTTGTGTGTTCTTGCCTGTTGTTGACAATTCCTCTTTAAAAATTTCTCAATTTGTTGAATGAAGGTGCACAATATATTGGTCAGCTCACTTGTCTTGGGCAATACATGTCATTTTTATCTGGACTGGTATCAACTGTGTTTGAAACACATATATTTAATATGTAAATGAAGAATATATGAGTTTTCATTCAATAATAACAACTATGAGGAAACTTGGGGAGACTGCTGGGCACAATATCAAAATTAGGAGTTCACTTTCATGCTCTGAGTGTCTTTTTCTCTTCTGCACCTAGTAAAACTCAGAGACAGAAAGTCACATAACATAAAACGGGATGGTTAACGTCTGTTTTACTCCTGTATACTTCTGACATGTAACTGTCATATAGCATGTTGATCAAACAAATCCCAACAAAGCCATAATTAATTTATTTAAAAGTCAGTTTTGGTTAATTCAACTTAATTCTAAACTTGGTTCATAGCACAAGTCAGAGTTTATAGACGCTGCTTATTGTTGCACTTGGCATGAATTGGGGTTACCTATTACATAAGATGCTAACTCCACTGAAGACCTGGGGAGAGTCTCTAACGTGCATTCCAGTGTGTTGCCAACAGGGGACTTGCAGAGTGCCCTCTGGTGGACAAACTATGCAACGACAACACTCATAACATGACTGAAGGATCCATCTCTCCCTTTCTTTATTAATTGTCATTTATTGGCTGTTATAAACACTGATACAGATTTATCTACAATTAGCTCATATTGGATTGGGCTCTACAACCAATCCAAACCCCAGGTCCCTGTGGTCTGCTGGTGACCTTGGCTTTTGGATAATGGGACTAAAAGTCTTTGCAGAAGTATATTACATTTACAATTTTGTAGAAAATAGAGGACTACATCATGAATGTTGGCTCTGTGATCCTCTTCCAGGATCTTAACTTACTAAAGGTCATGATTAAAACTAACGTACATAAATTGTATGACTGGAATCAGTCAGTGCGGCTTCTTAAGCAACAGGGCTTAATGCTCTGGCCTCCTGGCTGTAAATGGAGACTCAGCTCAGACTGATTTGTTTGGCTAATGTATCTCCGTCACTCTCTATAAAGAGAGGGCACTGTTCTTCAAGCCTGGTTCGGATTTCAAAGTGTTTGCCCCGCGCCCTGTGTCGCCGCCCCCTCACCCGTCCTTTTTCCTTTTCTCTTTCTCTTGGTCTATCTCTCCAGTCACTCTCCCTCTCTGGCCCTACCTGGTCCTAAAGTACCATAACTTTCACTGAAAGTCATGCAGCACCGGGGATATCGGTATCAATCTGCATATTTTTCAGATGTGCTCTGGGTATTGGGCTTTGTGGTGGAATGTGAGCCTGCAAGCTCCCCTTTCACGCCTGTGCCAACGTAAAGAGGTGAGCAGAACACAATGAACTGTGTTCAGGGGCACTTTCAGTCACCAAACATTGCTTTTGTTTGTGAGTTTTTGTTTTGTTTGTCTTCTTAAATAATGTACTGTGTGTGAGTTGGAGGTATAGCAGGCATTCGCAGAGGGTGATATTACTGGTGGCATATAGTAGTCAGAAAAACCTAGTGCCTTCAGTGAGCCTCACTGTTGGCATGCAACAGCATTTATGATGGACACAGTGAAGAGGACAGTGGTATCTATGTTCTATCAATAAAATAAATTGCAGTTGCAGATGGGAGGCATTACATTTAACATCTTGTGACTTGTGAAGCAGAAGATGTTGTGATATAAACTAGGTAATAGATAATAATTTGGTTGTCAGTATTCTACCTAGACAGGGTGAGCTACCAGTGGGTCTGAAAAGGAAGAAGCCAAATTCAGTGCTCTGCTACTGTTCCACAGACGTTCCTTTTGCAGATCCAGGAATATCATCTGTCTGTAGTGGGATCTGGCTCTCCTGGGAAATGATATCCACTTCCTCTCAACTGGGCATTGGTGACACAGTGATATTGGAGAGTGCAGCCAAGAACACAGCTGCACAACCAAACCTCACACTGCTCCATCAGACACTGAGCAGCAAGTTGGGGTTCCTTCATGGCTCCACACTTGGTGCAAAGCACGGTTTTACCTGTCACTCCCCACCTGAGCCCAGAGCCCCCCCCCCCCACACACACACACACTCACACACTCACTGACAACATAACATCCTTTGAGGGGATGCCACAGGAGAGCATCTGTTTTCCCTCCAATGGGGTTTAAGTTCAAAAGTCCAGAGATGGAAACCTTAATGCGACCAGGCACCGGTCATGATGTCTGCAAACTCTGGTCTTGTCTAAAAGTGGTCTGTCCATGAAGGCCCAGGGGGTGGCACCATGGTCTTCTCCGCAGATGTCAAACTGAAGAGAAGTTGTGCCTCCTAGACAGAGTAGAAAAGAATGGCAAAAGTATGCTATGTAGATTCTGTGGAGATGAACTAAAGTGTTCAATTCATCCTCCTGTAAAAGCATCACGTATTTGTCCTCTTGCCATCTTGCACTGCAGCAGGACAGGCAGCACATTAACAACACACATTAACACATTAAGTCCATACAATGAAGACATCCTTAACTGTGTTGTTATAAATACTCGCTGAAGAAAACTTGGTAAGGACTAATGTTCTTGTTGCACTTTATTAGGTTGCCTGAATAATTCATCCTGATTGAAAGACTTGTAAATGTTAAGTGCATTAAGTTGCAGAGATTGCGTACAGAGCCAGAGCCATCCACAGCCTCAGCTGCTATTCTGCAGACATTCTTCCCATTCCTATTAGCGTCCCACCGGGCATTTCGAACCAGCCAGTCAGAGTCCATCTTCCACTGCTTTTCTGTGATAAGAACATGAAAGGGCTGATACACAAAGTAGCAGGCGTATTTAGGACAGAGGTCAGACTGGATTTATATTGTAACAAGGCTATTTCTCTTTTTTCTTTTTAAATCTGGGATTTCTGTATACAGTAAATATTCTGACAAATGACGGTTTCATAAACCCGGGATAACAGTGAAGCATGCCTTAGCTCAATCCAAAATATTTTGGATGTCAGGCCAGTTAAGACACTGTACTGGCAGCTCCTCTGAGTTTTTTCTTACTGTTCAATCAGATGTCTGTATCCTAATCCTTTTGACTGCTACGAGCTGTAAAGCAGCAGTGCTGGAAAGGGAGCGTATCTGGTTTTATTCAGATGCTCACCTGTGTTTGCACTGGATAGGACATCAGAACATCAAGCCATGCTTCTGAAACCGTTACATTGTTTTATTGTTTGTCATGACTGGACAGTAAGAGAAGTGTAAAAGATCCACAGCAGCAGCACCATGGCTCAGTTCCCACCTCCTGGACATCATTACCACTAGAAAGCTTTTGTGTAAGGCCAGAGAAAATCAAATGGCATGCAATTCAGGCCTCCTGGTTATTGTCTGCTTTGTGTATTACACGACAAATGTCTTTTATTATGGTGCATTTTCTTTTTATTATCCATCTTGCATGGAGAATAAATAGCATATGATTGTTTTTTTTTTATTATTTTAAATGAAAAGAATGTGAAAACCACAACACAAAACAACGGCGTAGTCATAGGGCTAAATTTATCCATTGGCCTACACTGTGGTGTTAATGTGTAGCTTTTCTAGCTCCTAAACACATTCATATCACCAAAGAATGTTGTTTTTCTCTGACAGATACAATGGAACTGTGTTTTTCACGTTATGTTTTGACTCAGCCATAGTCCTGTCATGTGGTCACTTCAGTCACCGAGCATCAAGCTGACAACAGGCTCACTGTGGGTTTGCATGTCTTACATTTATTCATTTAGCTGACGCTTTTATCCAAAGCGACTTACAATTGCTGTATATGTCAGAGGTCACACACCTCTGAAGCAACTAGGGGTTAAGTGTCTTGCTCAGGGACACATTGGTGTCTCGCAGTGGATTCAAACCCGGGTCTCTCACACCAAAGGCATGTGAAATCAAACTGATAGTAAAAGTTGCCACAACAAAGACACAAAACTGTGTGAATGTCAATTAGTAATTTAGTGTTAACACATAAGGCTACAGCATTATTTATCTGATGCTGACCAGACTTGATCTCACAGACATGTTAGGACATCTGTTGTGTCTTCTGAGCCTGAAGCACTACTCATCCTCACTACTGTGTCCCTGTCACCTGGACCCTGACACCATAGCTTGTGTGAGGCTCGCGGTGCTCTCAGTAATGTGGTGGTATAATTACTCACTTGTTTGGTTTAGTAAGCCCTTTATTTTTCCGGCTTGCTCGCTCGTGTTGTCCGTTCTATCAGATTGAAGAAAAAATTAAGGGTTAACATATGGAGCAAGGTTGCACGTAGGGGTGAGCGTAAGGACACGTTGGTGTCATTGTCAAACACAGTTCTCTTGCAAAATATATGAAGCCATACAGCTAGCCGCTAATTATAGTGTATTTTCAGCTGTGTGTTCAGTGTGGTAGAAATTTGAATGAACATTGTTCTTTTCCCCTGACATGCAAACATCAAAAGGAAAACATTTAGCAGTCACCATTCGTTGATTATGACTGAGCTGTGGACCTTCACTCAAAACAGTTTAACCGAGGCCTTTCTTTAACCTCATCTTAACAAGATGAAGGGGAGAAGATGAACCCAGAAAAGGGTCCTGGAGGCATAATGGCCCCTGAGAGTGTTGCCATGTGTGCATGGCCTTGTCTGGCTGTTGTCCCATTGTAGTGACAGTTGCCCTCGGGGTGCCAGTAGTCCAAGCCTACACAAAAAGAAGTCCAGTAGAGATGAAGGCTCCTGCGAATGGAGGAGTGATGTCAGGCCAATTCAGTGGCCGGGTCAATAAGTGGATGGACTCTTCCCCCAAGCCAGCCAGTGTTACCGTCTGTGGAGAGAGAAAGAGAGACAAAGGAGTATGACAGCTGTTATTGGCACTGGGGAGAGTTGGTCACCTTTGATCCCCCAGTTGAAGTATAACTGCCATCCTCACAGCTGTGTTTGCCCCTTCCCTCCTCCTCTTACTCCTCTCTGTCTCTGCTCAAACACAAAACACTAACAGTCTGTTTCCTTCATCCACTTACTCTGTCTCTGTCAGGAGTACATGCTCATGATGCAACAGTAGAAGAAATTGATGTTTGCATTGTATACCCTCATATGTGATATTATTAAAATTATATTTGAATTGTTTTGACACTAAGCCCACACTTAACAAGCAAGTGGCTTAAAAACGACCTTGTGGTTGTGGAGCTTCTGGTACTGTCTCCTAGTAGATGGGGGGACCGTTGGCAACGACATAGAAACCCGAAGGAGGGTCATTAGGAGGAACAGCCTGCCTGAGCAGAACCTGAACATTAGTTTGTTATTGGACGTCCTGTTCTGGCCATGGACTGTGCATTAAAACATATTTGAACATGGTCGTTCACCCCGGACCAAAAATGTAACTCTTTATCTTCTCTGTGGTACCTGTTGCAACACATCTACAACATTGATGCTCCTTTGTACATATTGCTATTTTCAGTATTAATGCCTGGTAACATAGTTAATAAAAACCACGTTCCATCATCATCATCCATACCTTCATCTTTACTTGTTTGCTCTAATTATGATGTGTGAAAATTGGATGTGTCTTCTGTTGTTGCCTGCAGACCCACATATCCAGATTACCACCTGGGACTATTCCTGGACAGTGTTTGGCCATTGAGGGAGGCGTGTGTCGGCTGGTGAGCGTAGTGGAGTGAGCCGCGTTCTTCCTCCTACTGGGCTTCTTCAGCAATATTCCAAGACTAACTTTTCCACACACACACACACACACACACACACACACACACACACACACACACACACACACACACAGCCTTCACTTTCCCCCCATCTTCGTGATGGCAGAAGTAATAAGCTTTAGCTGTTTTAACAGGTGCCCAGGTAGGAGGGAGGGATGTTAGCTTCTACTTAGTGCACTTAAAGTACTTCCCTTTGCCCCTGTCTGCCTCCAGCATGTACTCTATGCCAACCCCCCCCAAGTTCTCCAGTATCACCTGGATTAGACTTGATGCACCATTGCCTTGATGCACCATTTTTCTTTATTACTCTTTTCCAACTAAAAGTGGCATCCTTCCTTTTGTAAATAAGCTATGATTTAGGAAAACAGGGTGAATGTTCATGTTGTTTTGTATTGCTGAACAGATTGTGTGACTATTTTCAGACGTTTAGGAATTTCAAATGCAAGACCTTATTTTGTTCTTAAAATACTTTTCAAGGTTAAAAAAGATGTCATATTGCACCTTGTGGAATGCCTGCTACTCAAGAAAATTGTTATGAATGAAGCATTTGTAGTTGTGAGAGCTGAACAGTGATGATAAAAGCTATTTACAATGTTAACACGTGCAAATTAACTTCCATGTACTCGTACACAAACACATTATATTATTAATCCTTCAGCATACTGTATAACGTAGCATAACGTGCATTTTAGATCATGAAGAATTTTATAACCATTTCAGAATAGAATGCTTTGCTTTGATTGTTTTAAAATGTGAATACATAGCTATTGCATGTACAAAATCTACATTAAGCCACTTTCTATTCTCTGACAGGTGTAGAGTTGATCAAGAAGCAGGAAGCTATGCACTTCCAGAGTAATGCTGATACATACATATAGTGCTCAGGTAGCAGCATTTGACCCCACCGCCAAACATGACTGTTAGATCACAATTTATATTTATATAGTCACATTGACAGAGACATGTATTTTCTTGCTAAAAAAAGGAGAGCTAAAACTCATTTGTATGCATCAAGCCCAGAAATTGTGCTGTTGAAAAGTGTACTTGAAGGGAGCAATGGTCTAAATTGATACTTCTGTTGGGATAATTAGTTTCCCCGGTTTTGCTGTTTCACTCAGTTACTACTAAGAATTCCAATCTCAACAAAACCACAATAGAGCTTGTGTATTCTTTACTTGAAAATGCAACAAATATAAAATGGTATAAGCTATTTAAATGGTACTATGTGCACAGCTCTTTACACTGCTCAAAAAGTTAATAAAATCTATGTTGCTACATTTCAGCATCTATCTTTAGTCTAAACTCCATGACATGAGACACATTCTTCCAACTGAGCCTTTTCCAAAAAAGATGTGCATTGCTCTTAGGAAAGCAGTTTGTGTAAGCCCAAACAGACATAAACACAGCATAAATATAATCTGAACTGTGGACTGCCAAAAATGTATAGTCTGGGAATAAATTACATGCTGGGCAGTAACTGGAGTGGGATAAAAAAGAATTCTGCAGAAGGACTTGTCAACATGCTGAAACATTTTAGCATGAGAGAGGAAATATTGAAGTCTGTGTTTGTTGAGGAACCTCAGTGACTTTTAAAAATGTGTGCAGTGTCCCCCCCCCCCCCCCCCCCCACTCCATCCACCCACCCCAACACACAAACACACACACAATATGTTTCTTTCCCAAGACACCACAGTTTTTTTGACATTTCAGCTTTTTTGTCACATTGAAAAAGAGTGGATTATGTAAGCAATATTTTACATTCTCCAGTATTTTGTGTTGATTTGATTCCTCTTAAATATGCTTTTGAAGGCTCTTATTGGAGAGGGCAGTTATTTATATCAGCAGTCTAACAACAGTCTCTAGGGCAAGAGTTTGTCCAGCTGCTGGCTCTGGATCGTGGCCACTCTAGTGTCTGTGAGGAATGTGCAATAGAGATGTTCATGAAGATAAATATATTCACCGTTTGAAGAGCGAGAGGCCTGCCTGTCAGTGCATCATGTCTCGTTGTGGAATAGGATCACATATGATGATATCCAGCCGGTTCGCCTCTCAGGTGTAAGATGTCACTGTCTTTTGACATCACTAATGCGCAGAATGTATTTGACAGGTCAGAAGGACCAGCAGAGGGTTGTTGGGGAGGTGCGATGCAGGTTTGTTTTTGTTCCACAGTTCTCCTGACCCCTGTTTGATCCTGAGGGTCCATCTAAAAGGAGATGTAGGTTACCTTGCCCCTCACCCACACTCACACCATTCTCTATTAGCTTGATCGCGTGTTATTATACAGCATACTCTTTTCATCAGAGCTAATCTGTGTTGCTGGGAGACCCTCTTCCCCACTCAGCACAGAACCTTCCCCTTCAAACATCATCCCTCTCTGTTCGGGATCCCCTTAGCTTTGAAAAAGGATCCAGGGTCTTTAAAGAGTGGACGGGGTCCTGAGCCATTCAAGGTGTATCCAATGCCTTGTGCTCAGCAAGGCTCTTAAATGCAAAACAGACGGTGGAGCAAATAAAGATCAAAGGCACCAGCTTTGCCCGCCTGGCCTGCTGTCCTCACATGCCAGGCGGTGTTGTCACAGTGAATCACGGCTGTGCAGCTTCCGTGCTCATGCTGACCCCCGTCCTTCAGCACCTAAGGGCCACCAACACCCTAAACACTGCTACAGCCCCTCTGCGCCCGTTTCTAACGTCAACACTCACACACACACAGGGTTAAAACCAGATGTTGTGTATGTAGCTGTCCTTCAGACCAAGCCAGAATTGTCCCTGAGGAATCAGAAGAGCCACTCACCTTGATGCACGTGAGGATCCCCTCTTATCGGGTTCACAATGAGAGGACTGAGCTAAACAGTTGGGCATTTCAGTAGTATCTGATTTAGTGACTTGTTTCATTGTGCCTTCGTTTGGCTGTATTTCTCCTAATGAAGTCATTGATCTTGTGTCTGTGTGGGTGGTGACTCAAATGGGATATTATTTGTCTATGCAATAATCCGCTGGATGCTAAATAAAGTCTGCCTCTTGAAAAGACCAATTGCATCTGAGTGAAACTGATTTCCACTGACTTCTACTAGCATGTGAAGCTAGCAGAGCATTTAAAACATGTGGTGGTACATTAGTCATAAGTTTAGCTCAATGAAAAGCCTGACTGAATATAATAACTCTTTTATGAGGGGGCAAAGCAGGTTTTTTTTTTCTCTGTTGTCCTCATTTGTCCGACAGCATAGTGTGTGTGTGAGTTTATGAGCGGGTGCATGTTATTTTAGCTTTTGTTTGAACTGATATAGAAGACATGAGCCAGGGGAAGGTGCCACTCAAGCCATGATGCCCATCTCAACAGATGGCGTTCATTGCATGGTGATACTATATGTCCAAGTGAATTAGAGCGTTTCGTTATGTGCTTTGTCATTGTTCTGCCGTAGATTGTGTGGCTGCAGATCCCTGTAGCATCTCAGCGATGTCCTGGCAGCAGGGGTTAAGTAAGGCACCCTGCCCTTTTCAGATGCTCCACAGCTACTTGACCTGTTTGTTCAGCTGTACACCCAGGAACATGTTTGCCCCCCACTCCTCCCCCACCACCACTCCTCCCCTGATTGTCTGTGCCAAAGATGCAAGCCTATGGCAGGCAGACTTCCAGCGGTCCCTCCCATTTTGTCCGTAGGGTTAGGGACATTAAGGGTGAAGGTTGAGAGGGAGGGATAGAGCGGCTAGATAAGCAACCTCCTGGTCCAGGTCAGCTATTCCAGATTAGAAGACCAAAGAAAAAGCTTTTAATTAGGTTTGCCGTGCCGTTAGGGCTCTGCGGTATTGTGGCCCAGACACTTCCTGCATTGTGCTACACCACCCATAAAGTAGCAGAGCAAGGGAGTGGGTAAAAGAAAGTGAGGGAGAGAAGCTAAAAATGATTCTGCCACATCTGTGCCACACCACAAAACAAAGAGCGGTTTTTTACCTACTAGAAGCCCTACACTGAGCTCCAGCACAGACAACAAACCACCTGGACTTGCTTAAATGGGAACGAGATTTCTGGAGAAAAGAGTTGAAGAACAGCTGAGCTTTCTCTTCATTTATTACAACATTAACCCATCCAAGTTTCCACAGCTTTCTTCTTCTTTTTAACTGTTTTCTTATTCCCACAGTTAGGTCTTGTGTGGTGCTCTACTGAGAAATCCCAGAGTCTGCCCTGTCAAACTAGGTCTAAAACAGAATACGTTGGACATAATTTCTTTCTCATAACAAAAATAGAGGCAAAATACCAACAATCATATCTTGGTGATGCTTAATGAGCCCTTTGGGATCCTTGACAATATACCACTAATATGGTGCTTTGCATCCTTTCAAACATACGAGAGTAGAGCCCTGGAAATAGCAACACCAAGCAAGGCCTCAGTGACGCCCCACAGCCAACACAAGTATTCTCTGTACTGTGGTCTACAGTACGTCTGCCCTCTCATCCATTTTCACACCAATTACACTAAACCTTGTATCAGTATTCCTACCTGCGCCTTGGAACGGGGATCAGGTTGTGCTTGTAGGGGAGGGGAGATGAAAAGTGAGGAGCGCATACGAGTAATTGCCTGCTTTCGAGACACGTGGAGCCTGTCTGGAGAAGAGATGGGGGGGGGGGTCAATTTGAGCCAGGCCCTAATGTTTCAAAATAAAGATGAACACCTCGCTTTGATCTTCATGTCCTGTTCAGCAGACAGTCTGCAAAGATAACGATCCGTGCCGGTTACTGTAATCTTAGCCCCAAACCATGCTTTTACTGAAGAGAGGGGCAGAAGACTTAAAAGGAGAGCTTTACCCACTGTGGGTCTGCTAGCACAGAGGGAGAAGAGAGTCTACATATGAAAAAGAATGTATCCGTGTGATTTGCAGCAAGTATTTGAGGGTGGGTTGTTGATAAAAGGCTCCGTTTGGAAGGAATGGGTTGAAGGACGCGTGTTGAGGAATTCTGTATGAATAGTGAAGCAACTAGGCGGTTGCAAGCAGCGCTTCAGGGGTGTGGAACGTGCTGGGGCCTGCTGCATTATAAAGACAAGCCCTGCACCCGGCCAGCTGTGCCGTACACAAGGCTGAAGGAATGAGAGCGCCATGAATGGCTTTCTCTGTGTGACAATGACTGCGGCACTCAGCGGAGAGGGGATGGTCAGAGGTCCTTGCTACGGACTGGCAGCATTGAGAGTGTGTGTATGTGTGCGAGTACATAAGTACAGTGAGAAATTACTCAGGAATGTGAGGATACATGCCAAAGACAAAGAATTTCAGTCGCATTCAAGGGAAACTTACCCACTGAAGAAATATAACAGTCCCATCAATAGGCATGAGAGCCACATAGGATGGAAGTAATAGAAGTCTTGTGCTTCTGTTCTAGGAGTTTGCTAGATGAATTTTCTGACAGCAGGAGAGAAATCTAACTTTGCTTGAAATTTTGTCACTTCACACAACAGATATTTGCCATGCAGACTGACAAACAAAGACTTTCCCTTTTCTAGCAACACATTCATTGGCTTTTAAAAAAAATTTATTTATAGATTTATATCACAAATCTTTCCGTACAGTTGAATTCACACATTCTTTGCGCTCTGTTACGGTTCAATCCTAACTTGAGACACATTTACGCACATTGATGGCGAAGTGTGCGCTAGAGAGGGATCTCAAGTCAGCATTCAGCCGTTTGTGAATCAGAAAACCACAGCCGTAGACACCCAACTCAGACACAACTACAACTTAATAAATACTTTACAAAAATAATGCAGGCTTTTTACAATGAAGATCTGCCTCAGAGACAAAAAGTTGTAAATTAACGGTGAAAAAAAAAAAAAATGTGCATGCTAAATAAACTCACAAGCTTACATGGGAACCTGGATATTGTGAATGGCAACATGGAAGAAAATTGGATAACCCTGTTCTCTGTCCCGAAAGACCCCAACACATTCCTGAAGGATCTTATTATTCTATTACCACAGGCCTCTCAGATTCACCAAACATAAACAATCTATGGAGACGAACATGGACACAATCTAAACGAACATTCCTAGAATAATAATTTTCCCTTTTAGCAACATATAAACTCAGTTCACCCTTCAGCTGACACATTTTACTGGCAAATTTTTTCATTCATTTTTTCAGAGGCATATTTTACAAAACATAAAAAAGCAATGTTTTGTGCCTGGTTTTGGTGAAGTCAAGAAAAGTTCCCTGTGAGCAAGTAAACGTTCTGACTGTTGGATTTTTATTCCGCTTGGTTCAAAAGAGCAGCAAGTCTTGTTCCTCAGAGCCTAAAAGTCCATGTGTTATTTGACCTAAAACAGAATAAAAAATGATTTCAGCACAATTTTTGAGGTTTAGCTGAATATTTAAGCAGTGTGTTTTTCCCCCTTTCACTCTACAGCGGGCTAGAATTCCCTCGCTTCTTCAAACTGTTTGTAGTAGTCCTCGTCCTGAGGGTTGTCGGGACACTTCTGACCGTTGTTTGGCGGCCTGGCCTGGTTGTAGCGGCTCCAGTCTCCTTTGCAGATGATCCAGGGCAGGATGTCCACCTTATAGTGCAGGTCGGCTGAGAACTCTGTGCTGATAAGGTTGGGCGTGCCGGCCCCTTTGCCACGAGTGATGAGCTTCATGGCGTCGTCGTAGCAGCAGTGCTGTGCTGCCAGCGTGGTGGACTCCAGCGTCAGCATGGAGCGGATGCAGTAGCGGGCCGTGGGCTTGTAGATCTCCAGTTTCTCTTTTGGCCCGCTGGCATCTTTCCAGCGGAAATCTCGGCGCGTGGGGGCATCGTGGACGTCCGCTGTGCTGTACGCCACCTCTGTTGGGTAAGAGCAAGGGCAGCTGGGGAGGTCGTTTGCCACCTTGGTCATGTACTTCTTCAAGAAGTCGCTCTTGCAGTTCATCCATCGCTCACAGCTGTCTGTGTCTGGAAGAAATGAAGACACAATTAAATGCTACATCTCTTTCCCACACAGATGAAACCAGCAGCGTGAGAAGGTGCAATATTTAATATGAAGGTGTGTTTTGACTGGGTTGATTAAGAACAGACAGACAAAGAGAGTGTGGGCAGTGGCATACTGTGCTCTTCCTGCCCTGATGCACATTTTCATCTCTGCACAGTAATGGAGCACAGCCTGAGCACGAGGAATGCAAAGTGTGTGAAGGAACACTGCTGCCAGATGGATGAACTTTCTTTGATGGTGTCAGAACATCTGAATGAGGGATAGTCTGGAGTAAGACAAGAGTAGGCAAAATCTTACCAACACCAAAGAGCTCTGTGGCATTAAACTCATCTGTTCCAGCTAACAGGCTCACTTCAGTAGCTGCCGTCTTGAAGGCATCTTCAATACCTTTAGAGAGATAAATGCACAGTCAATGAAAGGTGGCTCAAAAGATAAAAGACTACTAAATCAACACGTGCACTTGCGAGCTGTCCTCTAATATCCATTAGCCACATCTCTACTGGTGTGGGATTCTTTTGTTCTGTGATCCAAAATCAAGACTTTACCTGGGCAGCTGGGCATATCACAAGTTCTGGACTCGGTGGCTGTACAGGCATAACCACATGACCTGGTTCTCTTCTGGTTGCCATTTCCACAGGTGACACTGCACGCTGTCCAGTTACTCCAGTCCCCCTCCGCATCCATATAGTCTACATCAGAGAGAGAGAGAGAGAGAGATCCTCAGCTCTGATGCAGGCCACATGCTGAAGTTACTCGGGCCTGTTAGCATGCCTCACTAATAGTAAGTGGGGGGAGGACATGAAAGGGGAAGTGCGGGGGAGCTCAAAGTTCTCTTTGACTTTGCCCCTCAAAGCAGACACCACACAAGCCTGTCTACACACACACACACACACACACACAGTCTGCGCCACCTGAGTATACCTGGCACAGTGGCACCGGACACCATTCTGTTGCTGTGATTCATTGGTCTGAAAATGGGAACTGAAATGGCAAGAAATCCTCTTTAACTCCAATTATCATTGAGCAGATCACTGTAATGGTATACATGGGAAACAGTTACACTAGGCTGTACTCCCCCCATCACAATCACGACCGTACGCGCGCACACACACACACACACACACACACACACACACACACACACACACACACACACACACACACACACACACACACACACACACACACACACACATCTTGAAGGCAGTACTCCATCAATGAGGAGAATTAATGTGGGCATGTTGGGATGGAAGTATTTCTGGCCGTAGTCCAACACTTCCTATACACCCCCCACCCAACCCACCCCACCCGTCCACTGCCATCTGCCCCTCATTAAGAGCATTTTGTATGAATAAAGGCCAGATAGCCATCTAGCACCGCTCCCCTCATCCTTCCGTTGCTTACTACGGCCAAAGAGCTGGTGGCAGCTCAAACAAAACTCAGAATAAAAATAAAAAAAAAATTGATAATAACCTGCCCTCAGCCCACAGATGAGACAACTGAATGTATGATCAGTGGTTTGTGATGGATGACCCTTGCTGTCTGTCCTCAATTATGAAATTTAGGTTAAAAACCAGGACAGTGATGATGAGCAAATATTTCCCGGTCCATTAGTGTGCGGTGAAATAAAGGATGAATGAGAGCAGACCGCAGCGATAAGCCAGAGACATTAAACACAGGTTATGGTTTGACAAAATAAAATTATAAAATCGCCCTCCTTACCGCTGTAGTGCAAGTGGATAAAATGACATTTACCACAGGATACGCATTCCTGTTTGACCATGTTGGTTTGGGCATGCTACAACACGGGCCAGACGCATACTGTATCGCAGCGAGTGTAAATTCTTCCACGGCAGATTTATCTGTGGGGTTACTTTTGGGAGAGTGTTGTGAGAATGGCGTGGAGGCCAAACAGTGCTTCTGGCCCCATTCCTGCTGCGGAACTTTGATGTGAAGAGGCGTTTAAACTGTATCACGTAGCTAGCTCCACACCACAGAGGCATCTATCTCATAAAAGAGTGTCAAAGGCTTCAATCAGGGGCTGCCAAAGGCTCGCCTGGGATGACTGCACTTATTATGGTGACAGCTTAAATCAGCAAATCTGCAAATTACAGATTCCACATCAGACTGTGGCCATCTGTGGAAACGTTGGAGACCGGTGCTCAAATAAGAGCCCGTGGACCCAGCTAAATATTCTGCAATGTGCGTTGTGCACTCATTTCAGTGCAAACACCCCCTCCTGTCATTCTCACCATATTCAGTTTGAGCTTTGCTTCCTCCCCCGGTGCCTCCTCTCCTGTCCCAGTCTGCCGGCGGCCTGAGGAAGTTGCTATCCTCACTGTTGCTCCCGTATGAGCGATTGTGCTCCTCTGTTTGATGAGTGGTAGAAGAGGAAGAGGATGAAGGCCACCAGTTTCTCCAGTTAGGAGAAGCCCAGTTGGGTTTGCTTTCCTTACGGAGGCCTTTTTCTGGCTCATGGCCCTCCAGTCCATCCACCACTTCAATCGTCACCTGTATTAGAGGACAGAAGTCAATTTAAAGTCAATGTTCAATGCAGACCTATCAAAGAAGATGCTTTTATTGCACAGAATGGGTTCCATGAGGTGACACTTTATGGTACCCCGGCACACAATATCACCCCTTTCCCCTATATGTCCAAACACATATGCCTCCCAGATGAGGGGGGACCATCACCCCTGCCCCACAGTCACCCTCCCACCTTTTGGGCTCTCTCCACCTAAACACAAAGTTCAAAGGGCTACTCAGCCTCCTCCAGACCATGAAAGCCAGATGAATCCCAGGATCAAAGACACCGCCCTCCTCCCCTTCTCCCACAGCCTCACGCCCTTGCTCAATTGGTTGCCCCGCTCTCTACCCACATCTTGAGATGTTAATACACTTTGTTCATGCTCGGATTTAGTAGTGATGCTCTCAGAAATGGAAAGACCCCCTTGCTGGATTAGACAGGAGAATGACTTAAGGGCGAGGGCTCGCCACACATTTACATAAGCTGCTGTCTGTCTTCCAGCACATGGGTTAGTAGTGAGGTATTGCTGGTTAGTGTCTGCCTTTCAGCTGTCATTATGATGGACATGAGACCTCAGTGTCTATGTTAAGCTTCAGTATGAGCCAGGAAGTAAAGGGGATACGAGCAGAAGGGAGGAGGAAAGGGAAGAAAAAGGAGGGTTTTGATGTTCAAACTATTCTCCTTCTTCCCGTTTGCTCTTCTGGTCTTATGTGCTTGAGTAGACTTGTCTTATAAGTGCGTGAAAGCATCAAAGCACACTGGCAGGTGCACACACACGGTCACCTGTATGTTGGGATTCTGTCCATTGATATCGGCTTTAGAGAGGTCAGGGAAATTGTGAAGATCTAGGAGGAAAGCTCCAGGGCCGTCCCTGCGTACGTTGCTGCCTTGTGCCCATGGGAGCGTAGCAGGCCTGTGGGCCAGCCGGTGTTCTGGACCAGACCTCCGGTCTTCAGGGGCCAGTTGTGCAGAGGAGCTGCTTTTTGCATTTATATTATTCTGCCAAGGAGAGAAATGAACATAATATTATTAATTATGTATTATTGGTTTGTGCATTCACAATATAAGATTATAAGAAAGTTTGTAGAATCTACAGCATCTACACACTCAGCAACATTAGATTAATGTCTCATGTTGACAGAGGTTCATGTGGCCATGACCTCTGTCATAAATCCTGTGGACAGTGGACTCAACTATTTGGAGCCCAGAAAGAAAGACCACAGAAACAGTGGGACAAATATTACACTGTGCGTCTGTCTGCTTCTACCAAAATATAAGCTCTGCATTCAGAGCCAGTGTCACAGTTAGCCTGTAAATTTTTTCCATTTTTAACTGACAGAGTATGCTGCTGCTTTACCATAGTAATATGATGTGGACATTTTTAGCATGTTCTGGTGCTGGCTGGAAGAAAAGCAATGTAAGACTGAATCAGTTTCCTGAACGCGTGTTATTGAGAGAAATCTAAGCAAACATTGCAAAAATAATTACTTCTGCCTTATTGACGACAGAAAAACATTTGGTCCTCTGACGGGGGGGGGGGGGGGTTGTAAATACAGCCCAAAAGTACAGTTGAGACATATGTCCCCTGTCAGGTATGCACAGAAGGAACAATTATTCCTCAATTGGACAGACAGCCATAAGTAGACAGCAATCATCCATTCTGGGGTGGCAGAAAATAAGATCAAAGAAAGCCATCAATCATGTTCCTTGTTTTCTTTTTTCACGTCCCATTTCTTCCTCCCTAGTGTTTTTGTGGCCAGGCTGAGGCCTGAGAATATGGCAGCAGTGCTGTACGGTTGCGGTGGCCGGTTACAGACAAAGTGTCAGCTCAGTCACATTGTGGTGAGCATAAAAGCCCCCAGTGGAGCTGTTTGAGTCCAGCCAAGGTGCACTCTGGGACAATATAGGCGCTGTAAATGGAGCTGCACAGCAAGGGAGCAAGGATTATAAATGTACATGTAACTTTAATTCAAGCACATAGGGGACAGCGGCTGCACAGAAAGACCCCCATATCCATTTAGCATTACGTTTTTTTAATTCACCAGATGGAGTTAATTGAAAGAATTTAAACACTTTCTCATCACATATCTTTGTGTGAGCTACTTCCATAATTACAATGATTATACAATTTTCCATAATTTTGAGGAAGATGAGTAGATGGTTCAGTGTTTTGCCTGTAGCCACCAAATAAAAAGAGAGAGGTTTAAATGCCGATAAGATGATGAGTTTTTATGAGAATCATAAAATGTGAGGAAAAATTATTCTGAAATAGCTGGTTTCAATTAAAATCACGCATGCCTTTTCCATAACCAAACAATTACGGCTGAGAGCTCAGTACATCAGCTATCGACCCTTTATGTGAACATCACGGAGATGTGTTACAAGCACTTGCGCTTTAAGATGCCCATGTGATAACCCCGTCTTTCAAGTTCCCAGCCTTCAGAAGTCACTCAGTGGCTGTAATTGAGCTGCACTGAGGGAGAAGGCCCAGGACGACACTTACAGGTTCAGTCACAATGCAAATACAGACAACTTTGTATTGTAAAGTCTGATTGTACTCCTTGGGGTGGATTTTATCTTTATGAACGATATTAGCATTTAACTGCAGACTACACAAGTTGCTCTTCCGTCCAGACATTACTGTTTATGATACTGAACAGTCATTTAAATCCGCTACCAGAAAACACTTCACAGCCACTGATTTCTTTTGGTATCCTATCATAAGGCTGCAAGGTGATTTCATTCACAACCCCTACCGATTAAAACACAAAAACTACTGTTTCTGAGTTATGACTTATTACCTTCTCCATGAGTCGATGTATTAAAAAAAGCAGATGCCACCACAAGAGTTTCATAATATGCAAACTGTTGGGTCGTGAAACCCAGTCTCAGTGTTTGCAGGCAGATTAATCCTCCATTATCCAGTCTAATCCCATCTGCATCTTCTGTTGTGTCATATTATGTTGTATTACACACGACAGGCAGATTATCTAATCCTCACACTAATTTGGTTTATTGAAATCGAACTTAAGTCAAGCCATTGAACTGACATCTGCTTGTAAACACAGAGAGTTTGTCAGTTTATGGGTAAATACTGGTATCAATAGATTATCTCGCAGACTGTATAGTAAAAATCCACCATATGGGAGAATCGCTGATTGGTGTTTTTAAATAAAAACATATACTGAATATTGCAGAAGTGCTGCAAGTTTGAATAAAACTAGTGGTAATAATTTGCCGTCAAACTGCTTAGGATTCAAAAAATTAAACCGAAAAGCACCATGAATCAAACAGATTCCAGAACTCTTCCATAAACCACTTTAACCACATAAAACAAAGGCCATGGTCACTGGACTCTGATATATACGGGTATTTTATTTATGTGATATGCTGACAACAGGTTGGTTCATTGTTCAAGTCCGTTTCATCATCATGGACAGATTTGTTAAAGCTTTTATAAACGGACAGTTTGCTGTGGGAAATGTGTTATTTGTTAGTCGAGAAAAGCTGCACAATTTACCAATGGAGCCATAGTGAGGCTAGGTAATGTCTGAAGACATTTGCAAAGGTGTTCAGAAAAGTAATTTTAAAAACAGGCAACGCAATCACCAGTTGTCGCTTAATAATATACTAGACTGCTTTTTCCACCTTTACTCGTCCAGAAGCTACATCAGATACACTTAAATATGAGAGCTACCCAGTGTAGCTACATTTAGGTGAGTTAGAAAACCATTTACTAAACTAACATAGTATTTCCCAGCCAATATTGAATTCAAACCCACAACACTGGAGTTACAGGCCATTTTCTCTAATCTAAGCCAGCGCCATCCACCAGGTGCCTAAGAAAGAAAACTTACGTGATAATTTTCCTTGTACATAATTTGAAATCTAAATTTCATTATTTCATGTTAAATTAACATTTTCATTTTCAGCCCCTGAACACTCAAACCTTAGACAATAGATGCCACTGGAGTGTGTGCAGTGTTGACATTCAGTTTATTGTCTCACTTTCTTTGGTAGCAGATAGACAGGACAGCAGGACAAATACACTGTATCACATACATCAAAACCTTGCCAAAACATAGAAAAATATCAGCCTTAAATATAATGCTGTTGTGTGTTGGCAAAATTGTGTCCATCACTTGGACATAAACAGAAATCTCTGCTGCTTTTCCCCATAAGCACTAAGATTTGTATTTCCATCTGGGAGCTCAGCAGTGTGATGGACAATCCATGAAATTTTATATCAGTAATAGATTTTTTTCTGTCTCAATCAGTGTTTCAGCAGAATGATTTAGGAGAATTAGCAAGGTTGAAAGTAATGGAAAGAATGCACAACATGGGAATTAGTCATCAGAAAGGAATGCCCGCCGTGTGTAAGTTGTGTAAAGCCCATCAATTGTTGATAATGTCGACATAAACACCTCTCTCAGTGGATCTTTTTAACACAAGTTAATGAGAAAAACATGCATCATTTTTCTCTAATATAGCCCAGCCTGTAACAGTGCACAGGAGTAACTCATTTAAATGTCACAAAATCAGCCTTTGTTGGCGGGCTGCTTTACAGTCCCTATCACTCATCTGAGATCTTCCTCAACGAGGAACATGCTTTAATTTGGAGATCAAAAGTGACACACCATTCCTCAGTTCATCTGGGGCCTCCCAGGATGTCACCCCCCCACTTTCAAAAGCCATGAATGAACACTTGCACACACAAGCCACCCCCCCTCCCTCCTCACAGTATCTCCTCTTCTTTTCCCGCTTCCCCCCCTTTTCACTTTGTGAGGGCTGCTTAAAGGGGCATGACTCCATTTTCAATTGGGAGCAACTCGGGGGTCCTTCCCCCAGGGAAGCTGGCAGGAAATGAAGGCAGTGCGCATTGTACCAGATGCTTTTCAGCACTACCCTTATGTAGGTGGAAGAGAAAGCTATCCTTCCTCTGGCACACGCCTCATACTGGCTGTATGTGTGTTTATTTACAGGATCAAACTAAGAAGACATATGTTATATTGGAGATATGAGCTCAAATGTGAACCCTTTAGACAGGACTTCTTGAAAATTAAAGAAGAAAATAAGCTCAAGGGCAAAAAAACGTGATTGATATGATATCACACCAACTTAACATTGCCCCAGTGGCTGAATCTGCTTTTCCTGGGTCAGTGATGATAATGTGCCTTGGACCAAAGAGTTTTCTCTTTCCACTACAGGTGCATGGAGCCGCATCCTGTCATTTGTCTTTCCGTGAATGGCATTTTAAATGTGACACCTTAGAACAACAATACACCCCCTGGGCCATGACAACCCCGGCCAAAAGATGACATCACCGTCTTCAGTGGCGAACCAGTGAAGCATATCCGCACACAGTCAGAGCATTCATGAAAAAAAAAAAAAAAAACATTCAGCGCTTTCCTCAACACGGGGAATGAGTGGCAATGTTGGGCTCTTTCATCACAAGCCAGAAGCTCTATGTAAATTTGGTCTAGTGACAAAAGGGATGTTGAGGTTGGAATGGCCGGCATGTGTGTAGTATTTTAACTATAATTCCTCAGGAGTAACTCCCTCCTGGTCCTCATCATGCTCAACCAATCCAAGATTTGGCTGTGTGACAAATATTCGATAAATTCCTGGAATATTTCCTCAGCTTTGCATGCCACAATATCCAACCAAACACAGGCTTGCGGTCAGTCGACAGTGATAATGGAGATAAGAGAAATTACCCTCACCATCCTCTGTTAAAGTTTAATTTCCCTCAAGCCTTAATAAAGTATTTATGGTATTTACTTAGTGGGCATAAATACCCATTAATCACTGGGACATGAAGAAAGTATTTCAGTAGCATGCTAAATTATACATCAAAAACAGCTGAAGGATGCTTAACACTCTAAAAAATCCGGTTGATCCCAGACCTTAGGTCTTAACCCTCCAGTCAGGATTTGAGGCTCTACTGGAGTATGTGTGCTTAAAACGGGCAGTTAAACTATTAAACCTGTCTTTAGCGGTGCCATGTTGACAAATGTTTCCCTTGTGAAATTTTGTTGAGGCACGTTTTAAACTGCCCAAAATAACCCAAAAAGGTGGAATAAAAAAAAAGGATTTTGAACAGATCATGTTATTGTCTTTCCCTCAACACAACATTAATAACAGATTTTTTTTTCCACGTGGCAGGATGGAATAAAACAAGTTGGGCTGAAGGGCAGGGCAGAAGTTAGTGTCAGGCTCTTCTTCAAACCAGCTCTGACCCTCTGCCTCATCAACTGAAAGCTTGGATGACACTGATGAGCCCATGATGACAGAGAAGTGCCTGCAGCTACCATTTAACCCCCAGCCATAGGGAGATGCGTCTGTTAAAGGGCGCTGATCTCTGACCCTGCCTCATCTTCCATCCCTCTGCTTGCTTTCTGCCATTCCCGGGGGACCCCCTAGGGAGACCACATAAATGTGTATATCAACAATCACCAAAGACCCACAGGGTTCCCCGAGAATGGAAGCTTCATTTTACCTGGGCCATTGGCTCATATAAGCATTTCATCAAGCCCCTCTGTGACCAAATCCTCAGTTATGGAAAGCACCTCACTACTAATAGATTTCCTCACTCACCTCTGTAAGTGCTGTGTCCTGATCCAGACTCAGAGTTACATTTCCCTGGGGCAGCGGACTGCTCCGCAGCACCGTGATGTGCAAGGTAAGGAGAAGAAGTCCCAGGAGCAGCAGCAGTTCAGCCGCCAGTCGCACCATCCTTTTAACACGGCCGCTCTTGGGAGCCTGCGGTGTGGCTGGAGCTCCGAGTCCGCCTCCTCCCGGTGCAGAGACTCCAATCTCCGGATCCGCCGGGGACGAGGAGCCGCAACACCACTTCGGAGCCACTTCGGGAATCAGAATTGCAAAAATGAAGGGAAAAGGATCGGATAGGGGGGCAGCCGAATAATTTGTAAAAAGTGCTGTAGATTAATTTGGATCCAGTGGCTTTTCTTTGTAAATGGTGGGATTGTCCTAAGTCAAGCTGTATCCTCTTTTACCGAGTTCAATATAGTTTGAGTTTAAGCCAAATAAGATATTAGATTTTGCGCCTCTCTGCCAATTAATGCAGTGTGCGGAATAGGAGCGGCGCAGCATAAACACTTTCCGCTCTTGTTGTGCCCTCCTCTGCTAATCTCCAAGCTCAGGAAACTTGCAGCCCAGTTGCCCCTTGGTGTCCCCGCCACATTCTGAGCCTCACACTTGAGTTTTCCTCACTTCCCCTTCAACCGCATGACGGACTTCTTGTTTTATCCACATTCTGCGCTCTCCAACGCGTTATTCGATGAGGTTACCTTTGGAGAAAAAAAAGTACAGGTAGTTAGGGGGAAAAAAATCTTTCCAGTTAAGGCTTTGCGTTGGACTTCTGTCTGCTTCAAACACAGTGTTCATCCATACTGCGGATTGTGAGCCCACCAAAATGAAGACGCGGGCTTGAATGCGTCTCTAAGGAGTCCTGCTGGAGGAAACAAATCATACCATATCAAACTAGGCTTACTGAGACACACGCCGTTCTTGTTGCGTGCTCTTGAGGTGTTTTTATACTATACGCCCCTGTGCATGCGCCCTCCCCCTGGTTAACTCTTTCCTTCCTCTCAGCCAGTCATCTCCAAACTGGTGTCCGGCCTAGGGTAACACCAAATATTCTTGTGTATGTTCGTGTGTTAAACACCCCAAACGTATGCTCTTTTTCCCATTGCAGATTAGATACATACATTAACAACATTATGGCAGACTATATCAAATTCTCCCATTTCAATAAGCATTAAACCAAGAATACGTATGCTGATTAAGTCATCCCTACACATTTTATTATGGGAAAATGCCACTATACAGGCACAGTAAGGACTCCCTGAAACAACGCCAAGTAAACTTGGTGGTCCCTGGAGGCGCACTGGGAACGTCGTTGCGCAGAGGAAGACACCCGGAGGCGCTTTACAGGAGGTCTGCCTCTCCCGTTGACATGTGTACAGCAGCGGCCTTGTCTCAGTCTGTGATTAAACCGCTGCTTCACGGAAGGTGATGTAACACTTCACTTAAGCAAGACAAATGGTGCGTAATGTGATTAGCCCTCGTGCGACTTTTTATTGTCCGCTTCAAAGGACAAGTCGCTGTGTCAAATTACGCACCATGCGGGCATCCTGCTGCTTCAGCATGTGTGACAGTTCACTAAATCCCCGAGGCGTGGAAAAGACCGCGCATCTAATATCATATGTCAACCCCTGAAGTCAATACATTCAGCTTGGGACAAGTGGAACAGTCATGTTGCTGATGATGACTTAACAGGATCTCATTACCTGGATACTGTCATGGGTTATTTGTCACTGTCATACCAGCTGGCATAAAATCATTCATAAAAGATTAGTTGAGGACATATTCCAATTCTCTGTATAAACACACAGGCCTATTGGTGGTGTGCATTATTACTCCTTGATCCTGTGGCCAAATGCCACACAGTGCACAGCTCCAGCAGGACAATGAACAGCAGCAGAGCCAAAGCAACGTCCAGATTAGACTACTATAGCCTACATACATACATACATAGAAAGCTAAAAGCACCTAAAAATCAAGACAAATACAATGTTCTTTTATTCATCACGTAGTTTCTACATTAACCGGTCCTCACTAATTCAATTTTCCTAGGAGTGATTTCTGAGAAGTTTGGTAAACTCAGGCCCTGAATTTACTTAAGCTGAGATATAACTCCAATCTGCCCATCTGATTCCCATGTGTGCCAGAAAGAACAGGGAGTAAATGTGGTCTGAGTGGCAGCTTACTTTTCATTCTATAGGCAGGCCAGTGACAGTGGAGTCACTACTGATGAGCAGGATGGAGATATTCAAGAACCTTGATGAATATCATATTTCGTTCAGTCATTCATACCTATAACCTAAAGAAAACTTCCAATTATCTCCCAAATATCTGATGAGGCTGATCAAATGTCTGAATTACAGGCTAAAATATTCAAGTAAAGGTTCCTCGTCATTTTCTGTACTAATGAAATACAACATATCGGCCTACTTCATTATGCTATCTGTTAACAAATGGACCCCAATATACAGCTATACTGCAGCCTTCACTTGCAGTCTCACTTGGTCCAGGCACAGCATAGCTGTCTAAACCATGTAAATCTGTTCTTTGTCTGCTTCACTTCAAAAATCCCTTTCCAGAATAGAAAAATCTCTGTCTAAATGGAAAACAGAAAGCAGAGAGAATGGCTTGCCTGCTTTGGACACAGTGGTGGACATCAAAGGCGTAGCAGAGGATCCCCCTTCAGAATAGCAGCTACATGCCATTCCAATAAGTGCAGCGTATTTGGATCTGCAGTTCAAAAGAGGCTGGTGCAGGCAGGCAGGCAGGTCTCTGGGGCCTTGCCACCAGTAGTTTGGTTGCACAGATGTTTTGAATGCCAGCACAGACCATTTGCCACTTCTGCTGAAGCTGAGGGCAGTTAGAAGTGACTGCAGGGAAGTTTGGTAAGACACATGTTTCCCACCTTGCCTAATAGTCCGTGTGTATTACCATACTTTGTCACATGGCTTCACAGGCCAGTTTGAAATCGACACCTCTGGAGTACATCATATACAAATTTTCGTGATAAGTGTTTAACAATCCATCTGAAAATATAAATGAGGGGAAAATATAAAATGATGCCTGTCATTTTGAAGAAATGATTACTACAGACTTAAAACTGTTCTCTGTCTACTGATAACCACTTTTTGTTTTCCTGTGCATAAAATACATTAATTATACACAGGTTTAGGGTTATATAAAGCTTCCATCAGTTGAACCATAGAAATTTGTCCTTGAGAAATCATTGTCTGAATACTTACTAAAGCAAAAGAAAAGCAGGTAATAAAAGGCCTCCAATATGACTGATATCTTATAATATCTTCTTCAAACTTATTTAATTCTCAAACATTTTTCCTGCTGTGCAACTGTACAAAAACATCACTGGTGACTCAAATTCAAGTTGGCCTTTCTGTAAATCACAGTGGAGTTTTGTATTTGTGCGCTCCCGCGTCTGTGAGTTATGTCTGAGAATGAATTCAAGCTTTTGAGTTTTCCCTTTACACACATCTGTCTTTTGCTGCAAGCCCAACATGAATTTAACAATTTTCACATTTAGACTAAAGGTGAAAGTAAACAAATTATTAACAGACATCCCGAGGGCGTCGATGCACACCAATGCAACATTTGAGGCCACCTTTTCCCCCATCTCTTCCACATCTTTATGGAACAGTGTGTTGGTATTACGTACGGAACACTTTTCTATTGTGTCTTGCTATAGGAGCCAGATGTGAATGTTACAGAACAAAGTGATCTAGTATAGAGCATCGATTTCAAGGGTTTTCTCGTTTTCTTTTTTTTGGGGGGGTTCATTTAACTTTTCTTTTGGACTAGGTCTAAGTTTGCAGTATTTCTAGCATGTCTATCCCAAGGATTGCATAATGTATTTTTAATTCAATCTTGTAAAATTTTTCACTATATTGTTTAAGGGGAGGACAAAGAAAACACAAACACGGTAACGTCCTGGGGCCAAACAAGTGTCAACTAGACGCGATCTGACACATTGTGAAAACACATTTATCATCCATCTATAATCCTTCCTGTGTTAATCAAGTGATTACCCCATCCCATGAGAATTTAGAGTTCAGTGCTAATTGCTAGGTTAGGTTTCTGTTGGCTCAGGTGCTGCATACTCTGCATGCTTACCTTCACAACTGTTATGCAGTCTGTGTGTGAAAAAGAACAGCAGGTCTTTAAAACATCAACAATTAAGCTGTTAAGACTTGATGAATATGAGCAGCCTCGCCACAAAACAAGCCTTAACACCTTTTTTGTTCTGCGCAGGGGTTGTTGAGATTTAACTGCATGTCAAAGTAGTAATTGCTGCATGATCTATTATTTACCAGAAAGTTATCATTTACTGTGGAGATGAAAGTGGCGTTACACTGGGAAATTTCAAAAATAAACAAAACAGTTCACTATGGAATGCAATAAAAGGCATCTTCGTTATCGTCAGTTCAGAAGTGAGCAGTGTAAATAATCACATGTCAGGGAATCCACACAGTTTCAAAGGGAAGGTTCGGGACATTTAGAAGGCTGTCATTTGAGATTATTAATCAACCTTTATATTCCAAAAACACATTTAGGAAGTTTTAATGTGCGGTACTTGCGTTTTATTGGAAACAAATAAAAATATAAAATCAGCAGACAGCAATGCAGCAGTACACCACAGGGGACAATTTCAAACTACTTTCCCATTACTTGTAACTACTACTTCATGTTAAGGAACAAAATGGGACTCCTTAGATCAAATCCTTAGAGACGTCATTCTCTAACTACCACCATCTTTTTTAATAAATAGTGGCTGATATCAATTCATGAGAAGAAAAAACTGCTTCCACAATTGTGGTATTTGTCTAACTATAGACATGAGTAATTAGAATTAAAGTGTAAATAGGCCCTGCTTTGCTATAAAAATGTGCAGTCAAACTGAACTTCAAAACTGCATGTGATTTTTCTCAGTATAAAAACAGTTATTTTACACAGTACTCGATTTTGAGACCAATCCAGCAATACTTGTGCAATCATTTCATGTATTCACAAATATATTTTTGAGTTCATGTAGTTTCTCTCATTAAGAAGCAGAAATACATGTTCCATTAATATATGTTTTACAAACATAAAAAGCAGCTGCCAACCATTTAGTCCCTGTTCTGCTGTGAGACATGGGTGTTATTCTGCATTGTGCGATTACAAGTCTGCTGTGGCATGGACACTTAAATTTTCACACTGTGAACTGAAGGTGTCAAGGGTCATATCAGCTGCCCTGCTCAAAGTCTGTGTCATCATAGAGGTCAGTCCAAGAGGAATATTTCTTCCGTGAAAACTTCAGACAGAGAGTGTCTCCCACCTCGTTCAGATGGTGCAGCACCTGAGGACAAGGGAAAAGTCTCAGAACATGTTCTTCAGTTATTTTTCAGGCCATTAAAAATCAATTGGTCGAAGAGTAAGGTCCTGTCAACTCTTAACTCAAACCCTCCTTCATCTGGATCATACCTATCTTTATGATTAAATCAAAAATGAAATATTTGGGAGGTGTTACTGATAGGGAACTGGGCAATCTTGTAAAACTGACATACACCACTGATGGAGAATTAAGTGGATTAGTCCACCTTTTCATTCACAGTAAGAGTTGGAGCGAGATTAATGAGCAATCGCATTATTACCTGGTATAAGCTCTGCAATTACATATTTATACATAGAGCAAGTCTTACACCTGAGAGACTGAACTGTTTTAAAACCAATTCATCCCTTCTCTGCTCTGGCTGCAAATTGGAGATTGGTACGTTCGTACATATGATGTGGTCTTGTGTTAGAATCATGAAGACCCCCCTAATATTACTCAGTGGATTAATGCAGTAAGTTAATGTGCTCCTTTGGAGAAAATAACATACAGCATGTGAGGCCCACGGCTCTTCCATAGGACGGGATCCATAGACGACATGAATGGAATCGATTGAATTTACTAACCATTTTATTTTTTATAGATATATTTCATATATCTTTACTTTGTGGGGTGGGAGGGGTGCTGGAGCACCCGTCTCTGTGTGCAAGGGAGAAGTGGTGTGTATGTACCTATTAAATGCAAGATATAATATTTATTTATGTAACACTTATTATGACACTGGTTTATGTTAAGTTGTGTTTTTTTTTTATACTGTAAATAGGGAAAGGAGAGGAATTTGTCATTGACATCTGTGTGTGCATGTACCTGGTTCAGCATGACTCTGGTGTGTGCTGCAGACAGACAGAAGCGAGCTCGGGCCTCTGTAATCGGCGTGGCTGGAAAGCCAACAACCACTACACCAATTTTCCTCTCTAGCATTTCTCGAGCGAAAGCCCTGGTCAGCAACAAAAAACAACGAAAGTCACTGAATTAACATTTCTGAACACCAAATTCCCATTACCAATATGTAACACTGAGATTGTCCTTCCTGTTTATCTCTTTTCAGAATTAAATAGCTTTGACATCAGTATTCACCTACTAAATACATAATTGTGCAACAACATATCTAACATTTGTCACATTTTAAGGCACATTAAAACTCACGAGGAATGTTGTTCCATGTAGCCCCTGCAAATCCTTAATTATGTAGTTGGGATATGTGGTATGACTGACTTGGAAGACTTAAAAAGAGCAAATAACAGTTTTGAAGGGCTAGAAGCAGTATATCTCTGATGACTTTTATTTTAATGAGCCCAAGCAGTGAATAACTCTCCACTTTGTGGCTAAATGTACAGTTTAGAGAACTCAAAACCTTAAAATGTGCTCTGAAAATGGTTTATTGAATCTGACACAGCAAACCTTTACAGTTTTTAAAATATTTTAGATTTTTTTGCATATGCGTCTATGCTAGTGCAAAGTCTAAATGGCCAGAAGTAGATCAGAATCAGAATGAGCTTTATTGCCAAGTAGTGTTTTACACAAACGAGGAATTTGCTGTGGTGATAAGGTGCTACACGTAGACAAACATACAGGACATAAATAAATAAGAACAACGTTGCAGATATATACATGTGCATTATTCTGGGTCTGTGCCGTGCAGAAGTAACGCAACGGAAGAGAATATTGTGTATATATACAGTAAATATATAAACTGACAACATAAAAATATACAACAACAAAGATCAACAATCAACAACAGATATGTACATGTGCAGAGACATTTGTATCATTTGCAAGGGGGGAGTGTCAGTTGTGTAATATACACTGTATACGTAGCAGAGTAGCTATAGATAAATTACTTTCATATGATGGTTATGAAATGCCCAACAAAGGCACTGCTGTGTTGTTACAAAACAAAAATTCCATAGATCTTGAAAACTCAGAAAATAACAAAAACAATGTAATTGTTTTAGAAATGTATGTTTAAAAAAATAGTTTCAAGGTGCTTTTAAACCAAAAGCGAAATGAGCGTTGGGGACGATGCATTTACATACAAAGTCAACGCAAAGACGCGTAGAGCTGGTAATTTCCAGTCGGGCAGTGCAAAGGGGGCGCTACTTTCGCATGAGTAGATAATTATCAAACTGAGCTAGAAAGTCGCAATGACGCTGAGTCACTATAGCCTATCAGTGTTGAGATTATCCTGACGTCACCGATGGCTTCAGAGCGTTGTGTGGAAGGGGCCAGGCACAGCAGGGGATTAAAATGCCACTGGCTGGCGGAGAGCTGCTAAACTTGGGCGAGAAGTTGAGGATTGAGCTGGGAGCAGCGCTGCAGTTTTTGCACAAATAAACACCCGTAGTCGGACTGGATTATGCTCTGACAACTGCACCGTTTACTCACAGGAGGAACTCGGCGTAAACTGCTTTTATTAAATTAGCTTTTTACTTTAGTTTTTGGGATTCACTCAAGCTTCTCAGCAGCTAGATTCTGTGTACATCCGGTTCCACTGTTGTTGTTAGCATCGGTTGGACTACTACTTCATATTGACATAAAAAATAAAAAATAAAAAAAACGGACAAAACTGGACATTACTTGGAGAAAGAAAGCGAGGAAGTTGAACTACCTGGTGAGTTCAGAAAATGTGTCAGTAACAGCTTATTCCAGCCATCGTTGTACTTTACTGTGAACAAGTTAGCATAGCATAGCCCTGATCGATCCGAACTCCATTCAGAAAACAAACATTTTAGAAGATGTTGTCGTGCGATCGCGCTGACAGACCTGACAAAGCATGAATTCATATGTTTAACAAATCTGAATCATATTGTAGTTATTTCGGCATAAGTTTGATCCGTTTATTGCTATTTAATCACAGCAAAATGTTTACTTTGGGTTCATACAGCTGGAGTAACGGCGAGGTATTTATTCGCATTATCGCGTTGTGTGTGAACACTCAGCAGTTGTCCAGCGATAAAGCCCCCGCGAGGAAAGCGTTGCGAGGATTAAATTTGTGTTTTGGTCTGAATGCCTCATAAGGAAATTATTTTTCCCCCAATTATGTATTAATTTCCTATGAAAACTGAGCAATGTAAAATCAGAAGCTACTACTGTGGCAATATGTGATAGCAGCTTGTGATTATTGCATTAGCGAGTGGGATTGGCCTTTTAATGGATATTAATGGTGACTGGCACTGAAAGACACTTCATACCCAACTGATTATACCTGAGTGGCTCAAATAATTCCGGGTAATACCTAATCAATAGCTGATGTTGCCTCTGAAGTGGTTACAGAAACCCAGGTTGCATCCCAAGTCTCTTAATTGCATCCACATTTCCCTCACTCCTGTCTTAGTCCCAAACCATGCGAGGAGAAGAGAAGAGGAAATGTGTTTTTAGAGAAATGAGATGTCCTTTCCTCTGAAGTGTCATGCAATGTCCGTTTCTGGTGATGGTGGCAACTGATTGTAGCTGGATCAGCAGTCAGTCGGCTCTTACAGCTATAGACTTTTGATGGGAGTTTGTGTCTGCACCGACACTGTGCCGACACTTATAAAAAGGCACACAGTTATCACAGCAGAGCGGCATATTTTCTTCCTGTAGCTGTTACCTGTTAAACAAACACCTATGAAGAACAACCTGCATTCTGTATTTATACTCTGTCCTGCTCAGACGCACAGGGTCATTTCTTTTATTTTTATTTTTTATCAGTATTTATTGATATCCTGATTATGAATTAATTATTCAATAACCCAGAATAAGATAATGGTGTCTTTTGAACATTGGAAAAGATTTATTAGGCTAAATGTTGAAATGACGTAACTCAAATCAAAGCAGACATTCAGGAATGATCAGCCTCACACTTAGTGGAAATGACGATAAATGATGTAAAACGTTTTTCTTGCTGACTCTCCGACTCTCTCTGACTTTAATTGTCTCCATAGTAAAAGTTAATGGGGGAAATAACAGATCATGAAAAGAAAATTCTTTCTTATAAATGAAGAAAGTTGTTTGTGGTCCTTTTGTTGTTCAGACCTACAATTAACACAAATCTTTAACTAGATGGTGAATCAAATCAAATAAAAAACTTGGGAGTTCACTTGAGTTTAATCTGTAATCTCTCTTCACTCCGGTATTAAACTCCAGTGACGTGATGTATCAGGTCAGTCCGATCAGCTGCAGCATCCAATAAATAACTGATATCCAATGAGGAGGCGTGTTTGCCAGCAAAAGACTTCCGTGAAGTTTGCTCTTGTGGATCCTTGATCATGGTTCCTCAGAGATCACTCCTCGATATTCAAAGCACAAATAAAGAGCTTTGTGACAGCCTGCAAGATGGTGGACCAGAACAACTTCCAGTTCAAGCGAGGATTGACAAGCGAGGAAATGTCAAATAAGAGACTTGAGATGCACCTCCAGTCTACACAGACACGGTCTACTACACTACTGATTCATGGAAACTCTGGAGTGTCTAATATGGCAGCCATCCAAATCACTTAGAGATGATACAAGGAGAGCTAACCTGAAATTACTTGTGACAGCAAGGGATAGTTAATATTTATTGTTTCAAATTTAGTGAATATCCTGATAATATTAATCTACTCTAAAAGAGGTTTTTGGTGAGAGTTTAAGTGTACTTACACCACTTTGCCTGGCATGTAGAGCAGAATTGGAACCACAGGTGAGTCATTGTGGCCATAGATGATGAAGCCCATCTCCTTCAGTCTGGCCCTGAAGTATCTGGTGTTCTCTGCCAGTTGGCGGATCCGTCTAATGCCTCCAATTAAAACAAGCACACCACCAGATGTATATGAGTAAAGCACCAACTCATTCCCCCCACAAACACACATTTCCACTGTCCCCTGCAGGGAGGGACATCACCTGTCAGTAGTAGCTAATGTAGTGTGAGTTCTTTACAGTGCCATCTCATCCTGCACCTCCATCTGGGTCATTCCAGCCTCCACTATGAATTTGCTCATGATTACAACTCAGCTGCAGCAGCAGATGGTTCAGTTTTGTCCGCCTGACGGCATGGTATATGCACTTGTACATTTCCAAAATAAGGGCTTGCAAATTGGATACAATGGATTTTGAACAAAATGAGTGACTGAGCCACTGGAGCCTTGCTATGACTGAAATGGAATATAAGTAATGCTTGAGTATCACGTGTATTTCAGATAAATTAGAAAACAAAGTCAGCAGAGGCAGCCTGTCCTGCTAACCCCCTGTGATCCCAAATGATGTAAATCACTGGGGAGCCTGTTGCTCTGTGGCTGTAGCAGAGTTTGGCATAGCCCAGCCTTGGAATGCAGCTCTGTTTCCCTCTGATTACCTGGGAACCGATTGGCAGTTCCTTCACGGGGATGTAAGAGAGAACTTTAAATCCCCTTATCTCAGCAGGGGGGGGGGGGCATAAAGGCATCTGCCAAAGGTCAGGGGGGGACAGAGGAAGACTGAGGGAATGAGGAATAAAAACAGGTATATTTATAAACTGAACAAAATTATAAACACAACACTTTGTTTTTGCCCCCACTCATCATGAGCTGAACTCAAAGATCTAAGACTTTCTCTATGTACACAAAAGGCCTGTTTCTCTCAAATATTGTTCACAAATGTGTAAAAATCTGTTAGCGAGTACTTCTCCTTTGCAGAGATAATCCATCCACCTCACAGGTGTGGCATATCAAGATGCTGATCAGACAGTATGGGGTTTGCACAGGTGTGCCTTAGGCTGGCCACAATAAAAGGTCACTCGAAAATGTGCAGTTTCACTATATTTAGGGGGCCAGGGATGGGGGTCCGGAAACCAGTCAGTATCTGGTGTGACCACCATTTGCCTCACGAAGTGCAACACATCTCCTTTGCATAGAGTTGATCAGATTGTTGATTGTGGCCTGTGGAATGTTGGTCCACTCATCTTCAATGGCTGTGCGAAGTTGCTGGATATTAGCAGGACTTGGAAAACGCCGTCGTATACGCCGATCCAGAGCATCCCAAACATGCTCAATGGGTGACATGTCCGGTGAGTATGCTGGCCATGCAAGAACTGGGATGTTTTCAGCTTCCAGGAATTGTGTACAGATCCTTGCAACATGGGGCCGTGCATTATTATTCGGCAACATGAGGAGATGGTCGTGGATGAATGGCACAACAGTGGGCCTCAGGATCTCGTCACGTTATCTCGGTGCATTGAAAATGCCATCAATAAAATGCACCTGTGTTCATTGTCAACACATGCCTGCCCATACCATAACCCCACCGCCACCATGGGCCACTCGATCCACAATGTTGACATCCACAAACCGCTTACCCACACAATGCCATACACGTACAGTGAAAACCAGGATTCATCTGTAAAGAGAACACCTCAACAAAGTGCTAGCCGCCATTGAATGTGAGCAGCCCACTCAGGTCGGTTATGACGACGATCTCCAGTCAGATCGAGACCCCGATGAGGATGACGAGCATGCAGATGAGCTTCCCTGAGACGGTTCCTGACAGTAATTCTTTGGTTATGCAAACTGTTTGTTGCAGCAGCTGTCTGGGTGGCTGGTCTCAGACGATCTTGGAGGTGAAGATGCTGGATTTGGAGTTCCTGGGCTGGTGTGGTTACACGTGGTCTGCGGTTGTGAGGCCAGTTGGATGTACTGCCAAATTCTCCGAAACGCCTTTGTAAATGGCTTATGGTAGAGAAATGAACATTCAATTCACGTGCAACAGCTCTGGTGGACATTCCAGCAGTCAGCATGCCAATTGCACGCTCCCTGAAAACTTGTGACATCTGTGGCATTGTGCTGTGTGTGATGCACATTTTCGAGTGGTCTTTTATTGTGGCCAGCCTAAGGCACACCTGTGTTTTGAAAGACTGTTTGCTGTGTTCCCTCCCCTCTATAAGGTCAAGAATGATTTTTTTTTGTCTTATGCTTATGGTGCACTCTTTAAGTCCCGTAGATTAGGGTAAACTATCTGACATTTACTTACCACCACTACTAACAACTCACACCAATACTAATACTATTACAACTGTTACCAGAAACTGCAATTGCTCTGGCACTATTGCAGCTGGTCCGTTAATGACTACTTCCTTGCCCTAGTGTCTTATGCCATTAAAGCAGAACCTTTTCAGAGGTACAGCGTTCCTCACAACACACATGAAAATGATTTCCTCCATGTTAGGGTCACGTGTGCTCAAGGACTGCACCCTTCCCTTTCTACCACTGCAGACCCCTGTAATTGCTACCACATTTTCTGACCAAGCAGCTGTTTGTCTTTCCCTGCAGGTCTGGACTTACCCCTATTGTTAACATTGGTACTGTCCTCTGGATTCGGTTTGCTATTGTTTCCATAAAAAGTATATAAAAAAAAGGCGTAAAAACTTTTATAAGCCAGACATAATATTTGTCTGTGTTAAGAACATGAGGTTTAATGAGTATGTGGATAATAAGACTGAGATTGAGGGTGACAGGGAGCCGCAACGAGCTCAGACACTCACCCTCTGTGCTCCCGTCTTTTCCCATGATGCACCTTATGGCACGTATGATCTGCTCAGTGATGGGAGGGGACATGGCAGAGGCGTACACTGCACTGTGAGAATGACTACGCAGGTAGTCCACCAGCTCCTGCAAAATGTAGGACAATATTGCACAGTGGGAAAATCTGATTGTTGAGTGTGTGTATTTACAGAAATAAACTGTTAATTGGATCCTCTATGTGACAGAAGTGTGGCCCTGCAATTTTTTTTCAGCTCCACTAGAGTGAGCTCATGTAAACTCAATGCCTGAGAATTAATTAAAATACATCAAGTCATTTCTCCATCACTATGACCATCTTGCCATTGACTGTAAAATAGCTCTGGATCCTTTCCTGCTCTCCACTCTGAGAGAGCCAGTGCACTAATTTGCAAAATAACCAATGCTCATATGAGCCAGAATGAGGACTGTCATGCTCATTATTCCTAAATGTCAGCAGGAGATTAATTCTGCTAGTGGTTGTCAAGAGAAGACCAAGATTTCAGGAAACTGATTTGGTCATGGGTCCCCAGAGCACGTGTGTGTAAGTGGTCTGAGGTTGGAAGCTGGCCTGGAGCTGTGATGGGCTGCTGCTCGGTGGCTGAGTGGTGGCCAGCGGGTGAGGGGTGATGACACGTAGCCGGAGATGCTGTCTGGCCACCATTTCCACTCACCGCCATCTGTCCCTACTGGGCGGCGGCTGTGGCTTCCTCACACACACCCACACACACACACACACACACACACACACAGGCAAGGGATTTTAGGGGAAATGCTCCAACGTAGGATAAGAACCCTGAAACAACCTAACATCTGTTTTCATTTAAGGCAGGGGATTTTCACCGCTCTAGGGCCCCGCAGGATTTTGGTGCTACCAAGATAAACCAGTTAAGAGAACATGTCCGAAATCCATCTCATGTCTGTGGCGTGGACTGACAGCTCAGAGTGTTTCCTCAGCCACACGGTGGCTGCAGTGCTGATGTGGTGATGCATGTCCACAATGCCACAAAGTAGGAGCAATGCCAGAACAGCACACGCACTTGTACATACTTGGTTCTTCAATGGATGTATTTAATAACCTAATTTCAGTGCAATCCAGATTCTGAGTGAAGGGTTAATGAATAAAGCCTCCTTCATGCAAGGTTGAAGTGAATTAGAAGGAGCTTGGAGCGTATTTATTGGGGTATTTATTTTTGGTACTCTCATAAAATAGCTATAACATGACTGTTTTCAGAACACATCTGCAGAGTCTTTTGTCGGTCAACCCGAATCCACTTAATGTAGGATTTGGGGGATTTCACCACAACAACAAATACGTCAAATCTGAAGGCTTTCTCTCTCTTTTCCTGCATGTTTCTTTCAGGAGTTTACTACAGCCAGCTGTCAAACAAGGCAGAGTGTTCATACTTCAAACATTATCATGCTTGTTAAAAGTCATCCTGTTAAATCTGGAGCGCAGTTCCGACGCTTGCCACAAGAAGGGGCTGGCCCTCTGCCAGCTTTACCTTCTTATTATGGGAGAGCAGGGCTGAGCCAACACAAGGCAATGGCAGGAAGGGTCCCTCTCTGAATACCTAATTCAAGCAACATGGCTGTTTCCTCTGTTGCTTTCTAATCAACTGTTACAAACCCCGTGTGGTTATGTACTAAAGTGTACTTTTTAATGGAGTAAAAAGGAATTATAAAGGCCCGGAGTCACAGCCTGGGGAACATTTGTTGGACACATGAGAGCTACAAGACAGGTGGGGTGTTATGGAGTGTGTATGACTGACTCCCTCCCACACATCTTTAAAAACAGACCTGGGTAATACAGTATTTGAAAATATTTTGTATAATGTGTTTTAACCTGCTTTGGAGCCAAAGGGTTGCCAGGTTGTTTAAACAATGATCTAGGTCTACTGCAGTGTTCTAAGTTCAGTCTTTTACAGGTGTGCTATGAACTGGTGATATGGAGGAAAGTGAATGAACAGTAATGACGGATGGTATTATAATTTAAGAAAGGCATGGGTTGTTAATATGTGAACACACTCCTGTTTTTAATTAAAAAAAAGAGGTAAAAAACCCCAGAAAAGAATAGTCTTTTCTATTAGCTATTGTACTATGACAGGACAGGTTGCATCCAGGGCCTTTTTTTGCATGTCCTCCTCTATCTTTGGAACAAACTTCCTGAAAACCAGAGGTCTGCTCCAACTCTCAGTTCTTTTAAATTAACACTAAAACTTCTCTGTTGCCTTTACCCTTCTTAAAACTAAATTATTCTCCTGTTTAATTCCATTTAAGCTCATTTTTATCTTCCATTTTATTTGACTCTTTTTGAATCCTGTCTCCACGTCTCTTTATCTTGCCTTGTATATCTCTTATCTTGTTTTGTGTAAAGCTATTTAAATTGCCTTGTTGAAATGTGCTTTATACGTAACCTTGCACTACTTCTCTCGTGTTCATGAGAGAAGCAGGGCAAGCATTCACACATAAAAAAGCAAGAATTACAAAAGGTTCACAAGAACCTTTTTCCCGGCGATATAGCCTCCAGCAGCCCCGAAGCTCTTGGTGAAGGTGCCCATCATCACGTCCACATCATCTGGGTTCACATCGAACAGCTCGGTCACGCCCCTCCCTGATGGTCCCACAGCTCCGATACTGTGGGCCTCATCCAGGTACAGATATGCTTTATACTTCTTCTTCAGAGCGATGATTTCAGGAAGTCGCACCACTGAGCCCTCCATGCTTATGACAGAAATTCACACAAACAAAGAATACAGTTGCAAAAGGAAAAACACGGGCACACACATTTCATCAATTATAAACCAAACCAAGTTCAAAAGGAAATAAATTTGACCCTGACCACACTTTATCCACTGCAATGTACATCAGTAAATGCATGTTACAAATTTGGCAGGCCCCAGTATTCCAAGAATCTTTTTGCTGGCCTCTCTGCTTTACTCCCACTTCTCTCCCATCTCTGCCTCCCTCCGATGCAAACCTTTTAAGGCTACAAATAGACAGCAAAGAGTGAGTATATGGCTGGGGAATAAAGCAATCACAGATCTGTTATCCATGCTATGGCTAAGAACGTCTGCAGCCCAAATGACACAAGACAGGGTTTCACCAGGACCGATGTGGACATCAAAGGCAGGCCCAGGATATAGCTAAGGCATGCTTACACTTTATCCGGGCCTTTTGATGTTACAAGGAGGCAATCGACAGAGCATTTGTTATTTCACTGCCGTACTGAGAGGCGGCATTTCTTTAATGTCTGAGCCTCGCATTAGTCATTATTGTCCGATAAAGGCAGTCTGTCAGTCGCTCAAATTAGCAGGATTGTTGTGGAACCAATAGTTGTGTTTATACCAACTGATGGCCACCTTCAAGCTTTTACTCTTCATTTGATAAGAGGATTTTCATAAAGCAATTAAGAAAACTCCACAGCTGACTGATTGTGAATAAATGTGTTGAGGAGAAAAAAGGGCAGAAAGAGGGAAGAAAGGAGAAAAGAAAATGGCCGTGATAAACAGTTGGAGCTGGGGGTGTAGCCAAGTCAATCTCTGTGGCTCCATTTGGCCTTGATTTGGAGCTAATGAGCAGATGGAGTGGGTCACTAAGACTTGGGATAGCTCAGTGCCGGGAGAGACACACAATACCTTTCTCCTCTCTCCAGACCCCCCCCCCCCCCCACACACTATTACACACTATTACACACTATTACACACTATTATTCGAGGGTAGAGAGGGAAGCCATTGAAAAAGAAACCATTACATGAACTGCTAAACCCAGGCTGACAGCTCTCCTCAGGTTACAAATTAAGATTTCTACCTGAGTCTGGCGGTGCAAAACTCTGCTAAAGACCACCTGGATGCCCATACTTACAAAGATTGATACAACAGCTCAACTAACCCAAGATATGCGTCTGTGGGAGAACAATTTCACTAATATTTCACTAATATGTGTGTGTGTTGTATAACGACGCTTACCTATAGATGCCTTCCACCATGATGAGGATCTTCCTCCAGGGCCTGTGGGTTCGAGGCTGCCCTGAGCATACTGCCTCTCTTAACATCTTCTCCAGACTGTGCATGTCTGAAATCACATACAACTCAACACCTTATATGTAGAAAACATATACGGTTATATAGAGTATATATATAGAAATCATTGCTTGCAAGGAACACAAACTGAAAGCAAACAACAGTAAGTAGAGTAATAATTTCCACAAGGCAGGGCAGTACAGAGTTCACAAAGCACCACTTTATCTGCCAGAAACACCTTTGACAAACTACAAAAAGGAAATACCTTTGCAGTCTGATGCTACTGAACACTTGCGATGTCTGTATCAGAGAGGAATTACTAACGGAGCTAAATATGGGTTTGGCCAAAGGTCTCTTCAGTGCAGTCTGCATAGTTGCTTAAAAATTATGATTGAAATTTTGGCTTCAGCAAAATCATTTCCCAGTGGCCTTTAGAGTTTATAACTGGTACTGGTGCTATTACTGATACTCTGCTGCACGCCAGCAGGTGGCAGTATTGAATAGCTGTAGTTAATAAGGAGCACCATTCAAGGTATGACTGCAAACCAACCATTTCCAGCTGAGCAGCAAGTAAACCTGTCACAGATATTCATCTGTCATAGATGATCGATATCGCTGCCTCAGCACAAAAAACAGGTGTACTTAAGAGGCAGCAGGCGCTCTACTGATCAAATCCCTTCCAGAAGCTCAGCAGAGAAAGAAACCAGTGAAAGAGAAATCCAAAGTGGTTTGCTGTGTTCACAGGCAAAAAGGAGGGAAAGATCATTTCACAGTTAAGCAGTGATTTAAGGGAAGCCACGGCCTGATGAGATACTGTATGCCTGGGATGAGGAGGATGGTAATATTTGCTAAGACACGTGCATACATAAGATAGTATTATCTTTGCACAGGTTAACATACAAGCCTGATAAACTAGACTGGATGAACCAGTTCACCTACTCTCTGGTATGTAGTTCCATCTCTGTTAAAGAGCGGCCACTCAAACGTGTCAAACACACAAACATGGACAGATATTGCACCATTACATATAAGTACACGTTTTACTTCTCAGTTATTGTGGGTTGTGGGTGGGGTGAGTTTATTGGTTTAACCCTCTTAGTAAATATTGGCTTGTACTAATAAAAGAGTATGTCATTGTCTGGTGCTGGAGGTATAGAGGCAGGGAGGGGTCAGCTGCTCAGGGCCTGAGGGCTCTTTGCCTTTAGACAGGCCTCTGGGATCTACTTAGAGGACCCATAACTGACTCTTCTTGTACATGTCAGGACGCATTTGCTGCCAGAGGACCGGCTCATTTGTACTGTCTCCTGAAAGAGCAGTGGATGTTTCCAATGCAAGCACGATGAATGTTGTATCATTCATGTTTAATAACTCTCCCTTATCATCTATTGACGATATGTAATTTGACAATATACTAGAGAACAGATAGTTTAAGTAAGATGACATTTTCATATAAAGAGACTTCTGTTTTGCTGCTCTGCTACTGATGGATAAAACAGCCGTGACTGTAAACTGAACCCATTTCATTAAAGCTTCCAGATTTGCCGTTCTAAACACAGATTTTTAAGTAGGTCTTTCCAAAGGCAAATCCTGTACGGCACAGAAAGTAATGTGTTTCTCCCAGCAACAACAGTTTGGAATAAATAGAAGAAAAACTGGATAATGTAAGCAGCGGTGGCTGCACAAACATAGATTCATACTTATTCAACAAATAATCTATGGCAAAATATCACAGTGCTATCAACAATGTTTGATTGGCCGGAGCAATGAATGCTAAGCACCAAAGATGTTGGCAAACTGAAACAACACAGAACTCATTGCTTGTAACTGAAATAATGCTGGGTATTGTGTTGTTGTGAGGCAGAAGCACCATGACTTGGGAGAGTTACTGGACTTACTGTTGTGTTTGAACACCCGGATGGTTGCTCCTGACAGTCTGGCCCCTAAGATCAGGGATGTGTGATTGAGCTCATCACTCAGTATCAAACAACCCTGGGAACCAGCAGAGAGAAAAGACTTCATTCAAATTTCCCTAAGAAAGCAATGAATCACATTTTCCTGCATTCTTGAAATTACACATTTCTTACAAACTCTACAATATCCCTGTACCTATATATACACACATTACACTGACTATTTGGCAGGAGTCTTTGGATTTAGTGGGCTAAACTTCGATTCAGATTTATTCTTTATTGTCCTCGATGGAGGAAATTTGTTTTCACAGATTGTACCAAGAGCAACATTCAGCATGGATAATACTCTGCAGTACAATACAGATATATAGTGAGAGGGCTAATAACATTCCCCTTGGTTACATAAGAAAATTAGCTGGTCAACAGTAAACACTATCATCAATAAAACTGTTTGAAAATCACAACAGTGTGTGTCACCCACTTATACGCTTTTATCTGTTCCTGACATTGCTTGTGTATTTATGTATTTAAACATATGTTTTGTTGTTTTGTACTATGTCCTTACAGAATGTACTGTATTAACAGTCGTTGCTTTAAAAAGGATCCATCTGGCCAGCCCACTCCTCTTGCCCCGCCCCCTTCCATGCCTCAATCATAATCACCAATGTCTAGGTCCCCTGTGTATGATGAATAGTTGTACGCACTGTACTTGTTTCACATCTTTTCCTTCTTTCATGTCTGATGATGTTATGACCGACAGACAGGCCAGAATTTTCATAATGGAGAGTTTGGTACTTCATATTCCTTACAAATCAGCATGCAAATGAATTCAGCCTTTCCACAAAATTCTCTCCAGAACATTAGCATATTTAACACTGAAGCTCTAAGCATTTGACTGCATAAGTTTGAATGAACTCTTGTAGGGGGTATGTTGACACCATGTCAGTGACAGATACCCTCAGCTTGGCCTGTGGGTCCAACTGGCCTGGTCCCTGGTCTACCAGCAGCTGTCACTCTAATGCAGCTCTGCCTGCACAGCAAGGCCTGTCCTGGCACAGCCTGTCCCTGTAGGATAGAGTTGGCAGTGTGGGTTGACCCCCCAGCCCCAGCAGGATTACTGTGGGGTACGCAGCCTTAGGGGCTGCTACACCTCTTGGTCTGCATAAACGACCCCATTCTCATCACTTAAACAGTCAACCGCTCCTTCCTCCTGTCCGGTCCAATCACAGACATTCATGCTGTGCGTTGCCCCTGGCAACCGATGGCCGTCTGTATATGCCAGGCTGGTATGCTGACAGGCCAAAATATGGGTAATCATACCCTTGAGTGGTACTCTTTACAAAACCTTCCTTGTCTATGTGTCTGAAAGGACCAATGCCCAGAGCCTCGTCCTCCTGGCTACTGTAATGTCTAATTATGATTTTAATTAATGGGGGTGGGTCAGGAGTTGTTCGCAGCTGAGTTTAGTTGACTGTTATTCATTAATTTAGGCCATATGCAAGAAAGGAACAAAAGGAAGGCAAATTAGATTAATTTCTGCTGCGCTGAGAAAATTAAGCCCATATACACTAGGACGTTCTATATACAGTATGAGGCATGTAGTGTGTAATATCACAAACCTTCCCAACAATTGCTGGAATGTTCATTGAGTTTGTGGCAAAACCCATCCCAAAAGCCATGGAGGACTCTACTCCAAGGAAATCGGCCACAAGTTGCTCCAGCTCTTCATGGATGCTTAGATTACCTGCAAGACAAAAATCACAAAAGGATAACGCACCCTGACAAGATCACTGTACCTGCAGTTTTTTTTCCTAGCAGTCCCCTGGGGTTTCTGTTCTTTGTCATCCAATCACAAGTTTTGACATAGATGAATGCCTCCTGGTGAAAAGCCTGGACTACCAGCTCACACACCATCTCACTCTCTAGGGATGTGAAGAGATTTATAAAGATTCAAGATGTAGTAAATGTGTAATTTAGCTAGCCTTTTTCATCCCAGGTAATATCAAGGCAAGTCCTGCAAGGTCTAAAATGGTTCTGCAGCACATTCTGGGACTGAGGCAGTTGGTTATACCCAATGTGACAAGTGGGGAGGAGAATTCATTTATAAAATTGATCAGAGTAATCTGTCACCTGACATGGTGTTTTCCTGTTTTGTGCAATAAAACTAAGATTTTTGGGTATGTCTTTTGGGTACCTTGTGGTCAGCAGCTGAAGAAAATAATTACCGTTATAATGGTGAGCTACAGGGAGAGAGGAAAGCAGTGAACGGTTCATATATCCTGTATTTTATTTCTGCTGGCTCTGGGCAATGTTTATGTGTGTGCGTGTACATTTTAACACACTATACTTACTATAGTAGTTACTAGTTACTATACAATGCAGTTAAAGTAAATACTTCCAACCTAGTGAAGATGCAATTAATAACTGGTAATGAGGCAGTATTACAACAAAAATAAAGTAAACCTCTCAGTAAAAAGTCTATTAAAGCATATTTATATCTAGTTCTTTGAAATACTACAAGATGAAAACATTAATTCAGTTACCATCAGCAATGTAAATAAAAATAAAAATGGAGCTTGGTTTCAAGGTCATTAAGGCAATCCTTAATGCAAATGCTACATTATTTGCATATACATGGAATTATAATCATTGTGTTATAATCAATAACAATCAGTAGCCACAGAAAGCTGACATTAAACAGTTCCAACAGGCTGACTGTTTCAGGAAGGACTAGAAAACGAGTATTGACTGGTGTGTATAAAACCATAATACAGAGAATCAGCTCAGTCTTCATGGTGATTTCTATTCGATGCTTTCCATCAGGCCTTACGCCAAGTCAAATCGATTCATACATTTCCTTAAACACTCAGGCACACAGCCCCTGCTGGCATGTGCTGCGTTTTTGATCAGACTGCATTGGCATTTACTCTCTATGTAGAACATGTTACTTTGCGCGTCTTCATAGGGATATCCTGCCTCCTTATTGATATGCTAATCTTATAAGACTGCTATAAGTCTGGATACTCTTCAGGTCCTTGCTTACTTGTGTTAGCGGAAATAAAGTGAAACCTACATTATCATATACATTTCATTAAGCCTGGCCACCTGGCCGCTGAATTGCCATGGTCACCTTTCTGCCATCACAATCAACAAAACTTGTTGCAACTATTGCCAAGGTTGGATAGCATTATGGTAGAGAGACAATAACAATTGTGCTTTCAAATCTCCAAGCTAAAGTCGACTGTTTCATTGTGAGTTTTTTTTCTCCAAGACTTTACAACAAAAGAAAAACAAACCCAGCTTGGAAGAATTAATCATTTCTATGACCAACCTCGACTGGATTCTCAACAGACAGGTACACCATTTATGTCTTAGTCTTACCATTTAAACATGAAAAACATTCTACCACATTAGTATATGAGTGTACATGTTATTGTGATATACTATGTGCTTGGCAGCTGCACTTTCTATTTCTTGGTCGTTTATCATGTCATGTTGTTACATGTTACGCATGACATCATTATCTAACTTACTGTATGTTAATGATTGCATGCAGTGGCTAACTATTAAGACGAATCCATGAATGTTTGACATGTCTGTTTATCCACAGGGTGTGCTTTTAGCGCACTTTCCTTTTCCTTGTATCGACTTTCCAGCATCTTTCCTGGTACACTGTGCTGATTAAGAAACAGAGTAATGCCACAATTGTAGTAACTAATGACAGAAATCCACAAAGTGCAATGCTTGCTAGAAAATAGTGTTTACCATGGAAAACAACCGTCAGAGCCGTGTCGTGAGCTGGAGACGGGACCAAATGTGACAGAGGCGGTCGCCTCGTAATTCTCAATGCAGGAAAAATCCTGCTTTCACATGCCTACGCAAAAACAAAACAGATCAAATCGCACTTGCTGTGCACTCACATATATAATATTTGTGTGAGAATTATTTATAAGTGTTGGTTTTGTACTTTTGTGCTCAACTTGTACTCGACTGAACTGAACTTGATCTTGGTGATCCAAAAGGAGAGATGAGAGTTTAAATATCTAAAAAGAACCGTGCATTAAAAAGTTGTTAACTTAGCCTAAATCCTAAGAGGATGTCAGAGGCACGGACGCGAGTGAAGAGTGAAATATGTTTTTATTCAGATATTCAGAAATTGTGATTTTCAAGATTTTGTGTATCACCAATACAAAACGCTGCATGTGAACTAAAACACTGGTGATGATGGCATCACTGCTACTACAGAGATACTGGCTGGCGTCTTCAATAATTGATGCTTAATAAGGTCTCATGGGAGAAATGCTTATTATTCCTTAACCCTCTCCATGAGTGAGCTGAAACAGATTACAAATCCAGGGAAAAACAGTCCCCTTTTTGAAAGAGAAATAAACATAAATAAATCACAAATGAATAATGGATGGTGTGGAGTGTGTGTATGGGGGGTGAGTTTGTAGTACTTGCGCTCATTGTATAACTAATGATACCCTTTAATTCCTCTGGTTTCCTCTATTCTTGTCAAACTGCTGATATCATGCAACACTACGCAGCGACTCAACCATCTCCGAGCTTGTCAGCTCACCGTCTGCTAGCCTGCTCTCAGTAGATATACAGCACAGTGGAGTCAGATGGGGCACAAACTAATCATCACTGATCACTGTCATAATCATTATTGACAGAGAGAACCTGCTTTGCTCAAGTAAACTTTGCCAAGTGAGGCCTGTTCAATGGGCAGGTTTTGACCATGAAACACACAGCTGATCGCCAATCATCAGATTTCACTGCTGCAACACCGCTGTGCTGGAACATGAGAACCTGGCACTCACAGCCACTTAATTAAACATCATCAGAAGCCGGGTTGAAGTTCAGAGGATAAAACACCATTTCAAATTCATCTGAAGCTACAGATCCAACTTTCCGATCCTTGCTGTTCTAACACCTCCATCACATATATTCCTTTTGCATCCTGCATAATGTTCACAGTGATTCATAATCTCACACTGCACTATGATATCATCTCCCCTACTCCTCAGAGTGGACCAGTATGTAATGATCTCAGCTTATGCCCAAACGGTACATAATTCAACAAAGGTTAAATAATTCATATAACATTGCAGCCACTGAAAGATAATTAAACACGAGGGCAGTATAATTCACAAAAAAGATGATAAATGATGGCATATGTGATGGAGTTTTTTTTTTTTTTTTTACCAGTTTGATACTCAACCTATTCAGTGTCATCAGGGTCTGAGACTTTTAAAACAGGTGCACATGTAAGAAAGCACTTCAATATGAAGTTGAAGACACAACCATTTGCTCTATGAAGTGGACATTTCTCAAGATAAAATGAATACCCGTGTTAGCTCAAGAGGGCAAGTGCCACACATTTTTTTTAAAAAGTCTGTACAACTGCACATCAACCACAAACTCACCTATTTCCTGCCTTGTGCTGCAAACGCCAACCCCATAGTAGCGTATTTTGTCTGCCACAGTTCTCAGAAAGTCAGCGTTGTTCTCAGCAAAACCGAGATAGTTGTAAGAGCCCATGTTGATGACGTTGTGTATTGTCCTCCCAGTTAACCTGAATGCATGTAAACATTAGGAATCACTTTTACATTATGAATTGCAATCAACATTGAATTAAATATAATTGCTAACCAATTATAACACTGTTTATTCAAGGTAAATAGCACTGACTGCGTGTGTAAGCAGCATTTGTTATTACCATTTCCCTGCACACTTTTACAGTATCTAATCACATACTGTATTACTCAACACTCATTTTAGCCAGATTCAAGAGATTATGCTGCCTGATACTATGTCAGTACAAATAAAAATTCCTAGCCAAAAAAAAAGGAAAAAAGAAAGTGTGAGTATTGCTTTCAATAAGGCAAGTTGAGGTAAACATCACACAAATTCACATGCTCAGTCAGGTGTTTGCAACCTCACTTTACATCTGTATCAGAGTTTTTAAAAGTATTTTAGGAGAACTGCTCCATTTCATCAACTGGCCTATCTTCTCATTGCTCATGTAAACCTGTACACCACTAAAACCCATTCACTACAAAAGACAAGCTGACTGCCCCATTTCATGTCCCCTCCCCACAGCTCTGTTCATATTCCTATTTAAAATATATTCCCTGACTCTGCTGTGAAGCAAAAGGCAACTCAACTCTATCCATTAACTTTCAGTACTGACATATCCTCGATGATGACACACACCCGTGTGTTTCAGTTTCTATCTTTCCCCATGAGCTCACAGAGGAGGGAGGAGCACCATCTAACCAATGAAATCTTGGTTGTATAGTTTCTAGCTCCAGAACAGAGGTGATTGTGGTCAAAAATACGGACTGGCCTGTCTTAAGTGGGAAACCCATTTGCAAATTTTTAAGTTGTGCAGTATACATGATTATGAGCCTGCAGTATGTCTCATCAACAGTAGGTTTATCATAGATGATTGATGATGATGACAGTACCTGAATGTCCAGTTGTAGTCATCCGACACCCTCTCCATCAGGTCAAAGACAGGTCCTGGCAGGCTGCATATAGGACGGTTCCAGTTGTCTCGTACCCTCATGTACAGGTTTCGAGTGTAAAAGTTCTCAAAATCTTGATAAAGTGGTACGAAATCCTGAGGGCAAAGAGACACAGTTTCACATTAAAGCTATCCAAGCACTAGAGCAAAACAAACAATCCATGTCAAACTAAACACTAAAAACATTTCCATAGTTGAGAGGAATTAAAGCAACTTCTCAGTAATTGCTTTCTTAAAAACCAAAGGATTCTGCACATTCTTTATAATAAGAGGTGAAAAACAAATCTTTTTCACGATGAACTTGAAAGTTGCCGAAACTGTGAATAAAAGTAGACACACGTTATTTACTTTAGTTTTGTGACAAGACACATTTCCTTGCCCACCTCAAAGTAGTTTGCCAGGTGAGTAGGAGCTGAAGACAGTCTTCAAAATTATCCCCTGACAATGCTATTTACCGAGTTTATTTTAGCCTTTGCCTGCATTCCCCCCCTCTGTATGTCTGATCTAATGATGCCACCATCACGACAGTGCCCACATACAGTAAAGCTCTTCCTCCCTTTATACTTTATACAGCATATTAGTATGGGGATTGCGTCCTTGTGAGACCAAGGTTGCAGTCCCCATACTAATGTGTTGTACCTCGTTTCCCTCCCTTAGGGAACATTGGTTATATTCATAACCTCCAGTTATTCCTCCTACAGTACTTTATTGTCACTGCATGGACACACTGCCTTACAAAGATAATGACAAAACATGGTCACAGCTTTTGTTTTTATATGGTTTTAGCTTTTTAACATTAGCATTAACTGCTACCAACTTATCTTAACTGTGATCTGGATTTAAGAAATCAAATCTATGGTAATACAATAGCTCTTATCTGGCCCTGCTCTCTCTTGTCTAGTATCTAAAGCAGTAACAAAGAAAGAACTTGAATCCTCTGAGATTTAATTAGGTCTTCAGCAGATATTCTCTGTGGTGTCCTGTCTCAACCATGGCAACATTATATAGGAATATGAAAAAAAAGGACAGAAAGAAAGCTTAAGAGCAAAAATTACAATAATTAGGGAGAGACAAAATGTGTTGACACCCAAGGCATGAATACTTCTCTACTCCATCTGTGTGAGTGCATTAGTGAGTCTACAGCACGTGTGTTTGCCTAAAATATGCCTGTTTGTGCTGATTGCATGTTTTACCTACCTTTTGTTCCTCTCTTTCCTGGGCAAGGTGGCACTTCTCTAAGCCCACAGCTCTGAGGAAGTCTCTGAGGTAGCCAAACAAAGTGACAATGCCAAAGCCCAGGTATGTCATGACAGCCACGTAGATGGGTGCTTGTTCAAAGGACTCCTGCCTGTGCTGCCTGGAGGCAACACCAGTCCCTGGGCCATTTTTCTATATAACAAGAGGCCAAAATAAGCTGTCTTTTATTGCAGACAAGACAAGAGAGAACAATACCATTTGAATAAAAATGCTGGATTTCAAAAAGGCTTGTAGTTAACACACCAATTCACCTAAATAAAAAAATAGCCAGAGAGTGGCCAACTGGTACACTTACAGAAGTCACTTAACAGTTGTGGAAGAAGTATTTAAGTAAAAATATCAATGCCACAGTGACGAAATATTCTGTTATTAGTATAAGTTCTGCATTCAAAATTTGACAAGTACAAATGTATTAGCATCATAATTAAAGTACCAAAATTAAAAATACTCATTATGCAGAATGGCCCATTTCCAAATAATGCATATAATTTCAATGTATTATAATTATTGATGCATTAATGTGTACATCACTTTAATGGTGCAGCTGGTAAAGATGGAGCTAATTTAGTTACTTTATATACCAAATCCCAAATAAAAGCTGAAAACATATCGGCCTTTTATTATTGTTAACATTCAAATAGTTACAAAATAATTTACATTAAAAGGGGTCATTTTGTGGACATACTGATTTAAATTAAATTATACCTCTGTACCTGAGGTAGCTTCAAAACATTAATAGAATTTTAAGAGAGTTTAAAGGGAGTGGTGTTGAGTCTTTGGAAAGCAGAAATCACTGTATAAACCAGCATAAGAAAGATGTTAAAAGGGAAAAACTGATTACTGTTACAGAGATGTACTGTAAAATTATTTTTATTGCTAAAAGACTTAGGCCTAAATGTGTATTAGAGCTGGCTACATTCCTGGTTGCCATTACATTTTACGCAATGAACTTGATAAATACCTTGATAAAGGAACCTGTTTTGCAATTTCTGCAATGACAGCACCTAGGAGATATGTCAATTATGGCTGCCATTTTGTTTGTTTTGGTAGTGGCAGCTTGGATATTGAATTTCTGCCCAGTTTATACTGCTGTCCACAGATGTGCTGTTTGGCTTTTATGATGTCTGCATTTTAGAACAAAAACAGTATTATATGAGAAATCTTTTTATTATATTAGCAAAATTTCACATTCACAAAAGTAAATTTCGTAACCGCAAACCTTTATTTAAAGTTTTTATGAATGAAATGTAACAATACATACAAGTTTTTTTCACTCTTCAAAGCCTTAAATACACTTGATATATGTAAATTTCTTAATTGGGTACACTAATTATATGTTTTATTTTATTTACATTTCAACCCATGGTGCATCTATATGTACTTTGTTTTAGTATTGTAATTGCAATAAAGAATAAAAAAAAAGCATGGATATAAAATTTAAATTTCTCTGAAGATTGTGGCAAACTTTTTAAACCTCCCACAATGTCAAAAACACACTGATGACACTGATCAATAATCAAATGTCCAAAATAAATAAATAAACATCCTTTCATTCTCATTAAGTGACTTGTGTCAAGATAGAGGACACCTAATACAGTGTATGATTGGGATGCAAATACACCATGGAGAACATACCCCTAAATTTGTTAAATTGAGCTAATAAGGCTCCAAAAAACAACAGCAACAAACAAACAAACAAACAAGGCTTCCTTTGCAAAGACAAATCACCTAAAGTTACATTAGTCGCCATTCAAATCTAGTCATATAAAGTTACAGACAAAGATCTAAACAAACTACAGCATGTAGTGACCTTCCTCACCTACCTTGCCCAGCCCAAACCTGATCCGGCGAAAAAGGAGGAATTTCAGGGCGGGGTTGTTGGTCCATTTATTTGGTGTTTATGCGTTGAGCTTCAACCCCCCACATAGGGGAACTAACCAAGGACATGATGTACAACTATTGTTACTGAAGAGCTGCTATAATAAATAAAAAATAAGGACTTAATTAAAATTGTTTGTGCGTAATGATTGATGTGATATTTCGGCCATATGTATGCAGTAGGTGAACAGTCTCTATGGGTTACAAAGTTTGCATACGTCACAGGTTGTTTCAGGTAAGAGTTCCGGTGAGTACAACTTTTCCACAGATACAAAACTACGAATACCTTCAGTAAAGTGGTAAAACCACGGGGTAAAACACCCGGCTCCTGGAACCTTTAAACAGGTGCACGAAATAAATGAGTGCACACACACACACAAAAAAATCAAGCCGCTGACAGACATACCTCCCTCTTGTTGTGACAGCCATTTTTCGTGATGTCTTCGCATTTCAGTTCTATGTGGTTCAAATGTGGTTTTAAGTTGCCGTTGGCCGTAGTTCTTGCCATACTCCCATGCGCACAGCAGCGACTGTCTCCTCTGTTTGGCTGTCGGGTAATGTAACCGGTGTGCTTTACTGAACTTACAAAGGTGACTTCCTCCTTGTGTTGCCCCGGTTCAGCCTCTTATGAATTGTTGTTGTGTTTCAACATCGCGTCTCCAAAAAAAAAGTCACACTTCAGTTGTCTGTTTCGATATTGTGTGGAATGTTCCCACTTTATCTCTTCGACTTAATCCAAAAGTCACATTTTGCTCCACATACTATCTAATTTTTTGACTCTTGTTTTTCTTATAATATAATTTGTTTTCTAGTTTGTCTTGTTAAGGACTGCTTACCTTTCCATTAGCGGGAATACATGGAGTACATTGAGTCTGGATAACTATAGGGCCTACTTGAATAAGGAAGGTTAAAATCAATTCCAGTAATTTGATTTATTGTAATGTTACTTTATACTTATACTACACTACATTTGAGAGTACTCTTTACTACACTATATTTACTAGACAGCTTTTGTTACTTAGGCTAATATGCAGATTCTGATTTTTTACTACATGATGAACTCTTAAAACATGTTGTACTACTACTGAACAATATCTAATGTAGTTAAAATTATCTCCTACAACTGGAACAACTATAACACTAAAATGCTATTAACAATTAATGCATCAGTATCAACAATCCAATAATATAATATGTAATCATATAGAACTCACAGGGGCGATTTTCATGCATAAGGAGTACTTTTATTCATTTATTACTCAATAATACTTCTGTACTTTTACTATAGCAGTATCTTTTATTTGAAATTGAGTATGTTTACTATGAGGTATTTGTACTTTTACTGGAGTAAAAATACATATTGTTTGGTCACCTAATTTAGGTCAGGCAACTAAATGATAAATGGTCTGAGAGTGTAGAAAACTATCGTATTGTACTTGTATTATCAGTCCTGCAGTGATACAGTAGCACTACACACCAAAATGCATCAGCAGCAGTGTGCATGATTTGATACTCACAGCAGTTGGATTACAAAGAAATAATAATCACTTTGCAGATTGTTTAAACATGCACTGACATTCAGATTACCTAGTTTAGACAGAATTGAATTCAAGGCTATATTTGACATAAATAACATGAAATTCCTGAAAATGTAGCTCTATAATAATAAACAGTAATATAACTTGTCTTAATGTGCAGGTTAGAGGTCAGCTATATCTGGAAAGACTCCTAAGGAAGGCAGATGCTTACTAACGTGAGGGCTTGAACTCATGCTCTCTGTGCTGGACTGCTGTCCTAAATGTACAGTAAGTAATAAGAATTTATTGACTACATGCAGCCAAATGGATTACATTTCAGATTACAGTCCAGCTCAGCCTAATGATGCACTTTACAATCCCCACAGCTACTGTGGCGTTGCTTTTGCAGAGCACAGACACGTTTCAGTTTCAGAGAAGGAAAGTGTGCAACAATTTGCACTGCAGTTTAGTCTTTCTAGTTGATGATTGACTGAAGTGTCATAAATCAGATACACTGTTATTGACATAGGTCATATTAGAATAGCCCTGAATGCTTACTTATGTATGCCGGCCATTGGCAATCCCTTCTGGGCAAACACAGAGAGATTGTTAGTAAAAAGCCAACGCCTACTCAGTGGTCTACTCTGTGGTGCACTTAGTTTGTGGGTGCACAATAAATCGGAATATGCGTGTTAGTGTGACAGTAAATATAATGACAGGTTTCATTTTCAAATTAACATTGACCTGTTGCTGTTTTGGAGAGCTTACCTCTCAGTGGGCATGCACAAGCGAAATATGAGAAGTAGATAGTCTAAGTGATAATGTTAAAGGGAACTTGGAGTTTGGAATGCAAGTGCATGTCTGAACATTATGCAGTGAGATGAGAAAATGTTTTAGATGACAGTGTCTCCTATATACTCTCTACTTACATGGGCTATTCTGCAGGTGTGTGTTTACACAGGAAGCACATTTGATTGAAGAACTGCAATGTCGGACATTTTACATCCCTATGTCATTTTAAACAAATCATTTCTCACTATAGGTACAATACTCTATCCTTCGCAACTATTCACCATTTGACAGACATAATTTCCTGCTTTCCCAACCCAGCACAATCTCTGATTGTGCACATAGCACAATCAGAGATTGTCTAGAGTTGTTAAGTATTTATTTGAATTGCATTGCATTGCATTTTTTGAATGCACTGTGTTGTGAATTGTTTTGGCTGAAAACACTCAGGCCCTGTGGGTACTAACTGACGAGGGTTGGTGTTGTCTAATAACTCAAGATCCTTGTCAGGGAGGGAGGGGGAGATGCATGCAGTCTGACACTTGCATGAGGGTAAACTAGTTAGGATGACAAAAGAGTGCTGGGAGATCATGGGTATTGCAGATGAGTGAAGCAGAGAGAAAAGGACATATTGTGAATCAGGATTTGCCAGTCTGCATGCAATTGTTACAGAAAGAATGATTGAATGGAGGGTAGCATGCCGCTGTCTTAGTAAATTAAAGGTATCCAAAGCTCTCACCTCCTCTTTGCTCAGCTTGGAGGCTTGAATGGAGCTGTCACAGTGGCTGGTGCCTCCCCGCCTTCACTGCAAGATTGCTTTCTACCAGTGGGACCAGATAACCTACATCTGTCAGGCTTCATTAGCTATGTCAATCAATAGTCCTGTTCATTTTAACTTCACAAATGTTTGGGTTTTTTTTGTTCTGTTAGACAATTATGATTTGCAATTTGCAGGTTCCCAGCGCTGACCTTTTAGTCATGCTTGATCTTGCTGTTGAACATACTTTCATTGTGAGTTTAACTAAAGTTGATCAGTCTTTAAGGAGGATCACAAAATGATCTTCATCTTCACAGGGAAATTCTCCATTTTGCACTTCAGCAAGCATCTTTCATGTTTTTCAGTGCAAATGAGAAATTGGACTTCATTTCTTTGCTTCCTGTTTGATATTGATTGATGTCTTCATTTCCTAACATGATTGATTCCTGTATTTCTCACTGTGGCCTCTCTTCTTTGCATTTAAGATTATTAGAAGTAGTTTTCCTTTTTAAGATTATTTTGAAGCCTCCATAAAAGAGATTTCATACCTTGAATACAAATGAATAGTGAAACGGAGTATACAGCAAATAAGCTGCCCACAGTGCTCAGTGGGTCGTCTCCATCTACATTGCTTTCATATGAATGTCATGTAAAATTTCCTTAAATACACGATGAATACTAATATTCGATCTGATTGCATGTTTTTATTAGACTTTTGCCAACATGACTATTTATTCTATATTATTCTATATTTATTTCTTATGAATGTATGTGCCCCATGAATTTATTTCAGTTTGAAAGTTTATAAAATTTGAAAACAAGGTTGTATGTGTTCATAAAACACTTTGTGTAGTTCAGAATGCTCACATCATTGAATAACAGGTTTTTGATGAGTAGCCTACAAGAGAGATGTGTTGTCCCTCCACCTAGTGGCAGTACATGAGACAGCACTTCAGTCTACAATCACGCACACAGCCCCTCTCCACTTCCTACACCCAGGGTGGGAAATTAGCACCAGCCAAATGCTGGTAAAATATGAAAGTGGCTGGTGGATTTCAGACATAAAATAATGAGTGGCTGGAAGATGTTCCCATTTAAAAAGGACATTTTCACCCTACCTACACCCCACCCATGTTTTCTCTATGAAATATTCAATTATAAGCAAATTTGTTTGCATAAGCAGATGGACAGGTCTGCATTGACATGTACTATTTGTTCACTGTTATACTAATGCTTAGAGAGGGAGTGTTTATGGATGAACTCATGTCATGCTGTACTATTGGAGGCCAGTTGTAATGCAGAGCTATATTTAAACTTCCCCCGGGGTGCCATTAAATCATGTAATTTCTTCGTCAGGCCTGGCTGACCTCATTTTAATACGCACATCAGACAGCATTAAGAAAAAACATTAAAAGGAGGAATATTAAATTTTGTGTCCACTGTGCTATCTTACATTTACATTTTATATTTAAGCCCTTTTACAGACACTCTTATCATGTGAGACTTACAAGCAAAATAACATGTGGATGTTGGTATGGCAGGAGCATGATATTATCTGTTGTGATATGGTTGTGTGTAGAGGGATAGTTGAGAGTGTAGCTATGCATAGTTCTGCAAAGCACTCAATCTATTTGGACCACCAGGAGAAATGAGAAAATCATAAAAGGTTGTTGCATAAAATTGCAGCATTGTTGTTTTTTTGCTTTGCTAGGGATAAGAAGACAAAATGTGTTTTTCACTCAGCTAAATTAGGGTATAAATCTTAAATTGTGTTTTGCTGTATTATTTTGGGGAAAGAGGGGACAGATTGAAATGGCACTTTGTGTTAGAACCTTATAGATCAGAAAGTTAAATTTAGCTTTAGATACATGACTTTTGTTTGAGAGCTTGGGCTATCAATGCTGTGGACAGTACAAATGTCTTCAATTAGTCCTGTATGGCAGTAGAAACCCTGTTTTGTTAGCTCCTGTTGCTGCAGCACTCCTAACCTTGAGTGGGTGTTCGCATCCACAGGGGATGGAAGATTCCCCTGTTCTTTTCAGAAGCCAGCGGGAGAGGGGGAAAAGACATACTCAGAGACAGATATTTATAGAGAGAGTGGGAGAAAGTGAGATTGTGGTTTGAAAGGTTAAAGTAAGGGGGAGCAGCAAAATGACAGAGAAAGAGAATGACAGGGTTGTCGGGTGAAACAGGGAGACTGTGGAAAATAAAGATGAAGCAAGAAGATTTAGAAATGGATTATGCTGCAGACGTCTCCTGAGGCAGTGTGTTGACTCTGCTGTAAATCTGTGTGTCTCTGTAGGTCAGGTTGGCACTTATTGTCTGTGTTGACCCTAATTAAGTCCTGCAGATATTGTCAATGAGTCACTGAAGGCCTAGAGGAAAGATCTTCTTAGGGGGATATCCTGCATTTAATCTGCATGTCCATTGCTTCTCCACTGTGTCGTCCCCTCCGCGGTCCATAAACATTACTTTATTGTGCTGACCCTAAAAGCAGATTGTTAATACCATGAGATAATTTGAGATATTTATATCCTGCAGAATTAAATCTGTGTTCATTAGCATAG